ACGTTCTGTCAGCCGAGTGGATGCCATTCCACTTCGATGGGCTGTTCAAGACCCACAAAGTGCCCCAGGCGGACGGAACTGAGAAGCTTCTTCCCAACCCCCCCAAGTAAGTTACATCCCCGCTGTGGCGAACTTGTCAAGCGAAAACCTTCATGAGCTTCTTTCCCTAACACACCGAAAACAGGTTCCAGTTTTTCACCTCCATCACACCCTCACCGAGTGACACCGGCTTCACCCTCTTCACGCCCTCCAGACTTCTCTTCCAGAACCTGCCTCCTCACCTGTCTGTGGATAGACTGAGAGAGCTCACCTGGAGCGTCCAGACTAGCTCCTTCGACTCTACCAAGATGGGTGGTCTTCCTCTCGTCGTCGACCACCCCACGACCGGAGAGCCCTGCATCCGATATCACGAGCCTTGGCCCCAGTCCAAGACTGCCTTTGACGCCACTGACGTGGTCATCGAGGGCGTGAGCGAGAGCGAGAGCACCGAGATCTGCAACATCATTGACTCCCTCCTCCACGACAGAAGAAACACCCTCTACTTCTCCTGGCAACAGGGTGATCTGCTGGTCAGCGATAACATCCTGGCCATGCACACCCGCAGTGATTTCACGGCTGGCTCTCCCAGAGAGATGTGGCGCATTCACTTTGATTAAGGAACAAATTGTTTGATCTTGGGACTGTTTTGATATGCAAGGAAAAGTTTGGAAAATTGGCATTAGTGGTGTTAGTTTAGGATTCCCTCTCTGTTCTGATTAAGCTCGGCATAGATACATTTTAGTCTGAAGCGATTGAATCGAATTTTGTCTGATAAATTACAACGAGTGTGTCAAGTACCGATGTCAGTGGCTGGATGAGATCCAGAGGCAAATTTGATTGCCGTATAATACTACGTGGCGTGATCTTAGTTTCATGTTACCACGGTACGGACGTGAACAACAGATAAATGATTGGTGATTTTAAAAGGAAATTCATCAACCAGACTCTAAAGGCCATCATTAATCACGTCACTTGAGCATGATGCATACTTGATATCTTGACCAAGACATCCTTAAAGTTTGACGATCTCGACTCGGAATCAAACTCTGGGACTGGATCCTCTCGGAGAAGCTTTGAGGTGTGCGATGTTCTTCTGGGACTTCATATTCGAAGTTACGATGACCATGCATCTGAGACGCTGATACGACAAGAAGAACTTGTCATTGGGTTGCATCATAATACTGTGCAAGAAACCAAATGTCACGTCTGTTATGTTCTCGCTGGTAAGTAGATCACGCCACGGCTATGCCGTAGTTGCAATGGCGGAGAATACCAGCCGTCCTCCTAGGCACTTCCGGCATGTGGGCAGATGTCAAGCGTTTACTCTGGAAAACATTCGGAAATTTTAGGAAGACACGTCCTCATATGGTGAAACATGCCGGTTCATGGGTGAGATGCATTATTGCGGATAGCTGTAGTCACCATAACCCACCTACATGAGTTTGCTACTACTCGCTTGTGGATCCATTGTTGGCCAGGCTGTACAGTTCACCGTACTACCGTAAACCCATAAAGTCTAGGCTCTAGAGACTTTGTCAAGCCCACTTTTCGTGCCCTCGAATAGAAAGCAGGTCAAGTATAGCAGTGCGTAAGCATGTGTAAGGTTCGGAGATTCAGCCGCCCAACGAGATATTGCCGGGGACGGGCCGTAAACCGCTGTCCGAAGCCAAGACACTAGGTTGCCGAAACCCCGGCCGCGGCAAAGGTTTTTCTTCGACTCTGGAGCCACAAGATGCTTGCAGATTGTGAATATGATAAGGTACAATGCTGCATGTAATGTGACGAGCCAGGGTTCAAAGAACATGTTGGGGCCGGGGCCCTGCTACGCAAACCTGCAAACCCGCAGCACAACCAACACCTGTTGCCCCCCCTGAGCAAACATTGGCTAAGAAACACATACCTCTTCGGGCTAGCGATTATACGAACACCGAGGACGCGTACGGATACAGGTAACGGATATGTTTTATTCCTATCTATCCGCCCCAACAACGAAATGGAGCCGGAATACTCCCCACACTACACTCGAAGCCAGCTAAACGTGTCTTCGTGGCACAGTCTTGATCAGCAGGGGTTCAGTGACTACGGCTGAAACCCATTCCTTTCTCTTTGGAAGTTGCACTGGTTGCCAGTCTGCATTATTTAGTCCTGCAACCTGTGCAGGTCCATGTCGTTCATTGGCAGGACTGATTTCAAAGTTTGCGACCATCTTCGCGACACTCATGTACAATTCTAGGTACGAAAACCTGAGGTTTCTTGTCAGTGACTGTATGCCCATTTGGGGTCACGGCACTTACTGATTTGCGATACAAGTGTTTGCGCCTTTAGAGAATGCAATGTAAAACTTGTCTCGTAGTACATCCTCTGTAGTGTTCAAGCCGTAATCATCTATCCAGCGATAGGGATTAAACAACTCTGGATTCGGGTACGCATACTTGTCTCTGAGGTACCAGACTGGTGATGAAGTTACAATAGTCTGTGGAACACATTGACCGTTAGAGATGGTACTGAATCACTAAACATGCCACTGTGGTGACTTACGCCTTCGGGAACAAAATTTCCACATAGCTCAACACCACCCTTGGGAACCACACGGGGCAACATCGCCACAGATGCACCAGCCCAACGAATGCCTTCTTTGACACAAGCTCTCAAGCGAGGGATGTTTTCTAAAGTATTGAAATCCGTGGGAAATCCGCGGGATGCTAGGTCTTTATACAACTTCTGCTGATAAGTCGGGTTCCAGGAAAGGGCATAGAGGATATGGGCGAGGGATGCAGAGGTGGTGTCGGTCCCAGGTCCCAGGTTCTCCTTGGCCTCTGATAGGGCAGTCTGAGTCGGCACGCCAGCTGAAACCATGACGTTGAGCAGATTGGGAAATTGTGACTTTCGGCCTGGATCTTTGTTCCGGACCCAAGCTTTGTGCGTCCACTTCTCGAATTAGTACGCTAACAAGTTTCGTATCTTTTGAACGAACCTCGTCGTATTGCTGTAGTCCCTTTTTAGAGGATGTACGCAAGCCTTCCATATGACACAAGAAGTCTTCTACTCTCACCCAGATTGAGTACAGAAGCGGGAAGTTCATCATCTACATGGTCAGCTTTGTCTAGACTTCACAAGTTTCAAGACCCTAAGACGTACCAGAGGCAAAAATGTCGCTTTTTCATCGTTCTTTGATATAAGAGCAACTTCTTCTCCTTTTGACCAGGCAGACACGGCCGACAAGGCTTCACCGAATGAGAAATCCGCTTGAGAAGTCAGCTGACGAACGCAGAGCCGGGTCATACCGTGGCGTCTCACATATGATATCTGCCTCAAGAGCGCGGCAGGCAGGGCCTATGTCAAAAGAGACGCTTCTTCTTTCGACTGCCGAGACAAAATTATCAATATGATGAAGCATTAACCCTTCAAGCTTCTCAATATTGCTGCGGCTGAAAAGTTGACCAAGAATTCTCCGCCTCTTGGCATGCTCTTGAGGATCTCTACGGGCTGTTAGGACATAAACAGAAAGGCTACGTTTCTTTCAGAAGGGTCGTAACGAACGTGATAGAGAAGAGTGCGGGATGTTCATCTTGGACGAATTCTCCGTAGTTTCGGGGATCTTTTACAAATCCGCTATTGACTTTATGGACTGTATCGTAGATGTCGATGGAGTAGAACGATAGCTCATTGGGACCAATACGGATGAGAGGGCCTAGGAGAACAATAGAATCAGTTGCCACCCGTGTCAATGGTTTGAGGGGGAAAACGGAGCTACCTAGGGTCTCATGCAATTTTGGAAGTTCAAGGGTGACGTTGCCTCGGTATTCTTGACGAAAAGCCCAGATCAACCTGGAATAGCCTGCTCCCCATCCAGCATTAGGAATACGAGATAGGGGAGATGCGTGAGCTTTGGTGACGGTCTGGAGAGTGTCAATCGTCCGATCAAGTTGAAGATTTGAGCTCTTTGAGATGATAAATACCTTGAACGCTGTCACCGCCACAATGCATAGAGCAACCAGCCAAGTCAGAACGAGGATCGCCATTCTAGCATTAAACCTTCAGTTTCCCAAGAGAGTTCCGAAGTGAGAGTCACAAGATGTCGGCGCCAATGAAGTTCGCCCAATTTTCTCAATTTCATATCTACGGTGAATACTGAACCCTGAGCATCTAGAACGTCGAAGAACTACTCAAGACTGACCGTGTCCTGTGATCCAATGCGTCACGTTCTTTGAGTGCCGATTGCGTGATGGGCCTGATGCCCGAAACCTATCGTACCATCCCTCAACTGGCAGTCAACCCGGGGTTGCTTACGTTGACCTGATTGGCAGGGGCACGCGGAGCGCGGCGACATCCCAATCTAATCTCAACCTCCGAAGAAAAAGAGAGAAATATGGCGGTAAGTGAAGAGAGAAAGATGCTATCATTGCCATAGGCGGAGTATTTCAGTCCCTCAGTGTGTGGATGGTTGTGATCGTCTCTCAACGTTTGTCAAACTCGGCCTGATGCTACATGTACTTACTCAGCGCCCCATTGTGCGATGTGTTAATTAGTAGTGTAGAGTATATCATGGAGCAAGCAGAGGACTTGAAACCACAAGTCCGGGTGTAATGTTGTTCAAAGCACACATTATACTACATCTAATAGCAAATTATCTGTTCATCGACCTGTCTAAAGACTCATCTCGTTTGGTGTCACCAAGTTGCTGCTAAGGCTATTTCGTACGATTTACCGATGCCGTCATTCAGTCCCACATCACGCGACTAAGTAAGTCAGCCATTGGCACATGCGGCAATGATTGGAAGATTCGTATTTCTTCACACGCAAAAGCCGAACATTTCCGTCCCACTAATTAGATTTTTCAACGGCCCCTGGGCGGCCCGAATACTCCATCTCCCATAAGACGACGTCCCCTCCATCCGCATTTGTTCGCTCCGACGTCGCTAATTCGCTCAGCTTGGACCAACATCGAGAACATCATCAACATGGCTGCGACTGAGCGCCAAGACGAAGGCGTCGCCAAGAACGCGAACACCTTCCAGAGCGACGCAGAAGATGAGTCTTCAAAAGATGCCCGGGTCTTGGTGAGCAACACACAGCATGAAAGCATTGCATTTCAGTCAGCTAACCGCAGAATCGGCAGGAAAACCTAGGCTACAAGCCGGTGAGCAGACGATTTCAAAAGTCAGCCCATCTCACACAAATAACTCATTCTTCTAGGTGCTGCACCGGACATTCAACACGTTCCACAACTTTGCGACAACGTTCGGTACGCCGTATCCAGTCTGCTGGTTCTCTTCGTCATTTCTGATCTCGTTTAGCTGCCCTCTACTTCATTGGTGGAGTCCGAGTGACATTCTCTACCGGCATTGCTGCTGGAGGTAACCTGGCTTACTGGTAAGTGCTAGTGTCTGCACTCACCGATGTGCATTTGCAACGCCTAACATTCAGATAGGACGAGTTTCATCGTAACTTGCGTCTTTACCTTCATCACTGCCGCAGTCATTGCAGAGATCTGCTCCTCTCTACCCTTGGCGGGATCCATCTACTTATGGGCTGCTGAAGCTGGCGGACCCCGATTTGGCAGATTCTTCGGCTTCATCGTTGCATGGTGGAGTACCACAGCATGGACAACTTTCTGTGCGAGTAAGTTGACAACAACTTCTGAGGCATCTTCCCAACCTGAGTCGCTGATCCCTCTCAGGCAACACACAAGCCGCTGTGAACTACATGCTTTCGGTAAGTGATGGCACAAAGAACTGACTTCTCTGTAACAGTCTCTGACTTTGCAACAGGAGATTGTTGTCTTCAATCTCGACTTTCCTTCTGACTCCTCAAGCGTCAAATTTCGCGCTGTTCAATGGATCACTACAGAGGTCATGCTGGCCTTGGCTGCCATCTGGAACCTCCTGCCTCGTGAGACCACCTAGACTCCTATGTGCCATCATTGACAAGCTAACAAAAGCACAGCCCGCTACTTTAAATGGATCTTCTACTTGTCGACCGGGTTCGTGTTGCTGGACTTTGTTCTAAACATGGTCTGGCTACCGGTCGCGACAAGCAAGAGCGAGTACGGCTTCCGATCTGCCCATGATGCTTTCATGACCACCTACAACGGGACCGGCGCTCCGGCCGGTTGGAATTGGTGTCTCTCGTATCTCGCTACTGCCGGTATTCTCATCGGATTCGACGCGTCGGGGCACGTTGCGGAGGAGACCAAGAATGCAAGCGTCGCTGCCGCTCGCGGCATCTTTTGGAGTACCGTGGTCAGCGGGATTGGCGGCTTTGTTGTCGTGATATTATTTCTGTTCTGCGTTGTAAGTTTATGCTCTTCTCAAATGCAGCGCAGGAACGAACCCTGCTAATGGAATTTGACACAGCCTGATGCGGACACCCTTTTCTCTTTTGGCGGCGCCCAGCCATTTGTACCATTGTATGCAGCCATTCTCGGAGAGGGAGGCCACATTTTCATGAACATCGTTTGCATTGTCGCACTGTGGTTTGTAAGTCATCTTTGTCTTTTCTCGTACCTTATTCCCGTGTCTATTGAAACGTGCTGACCCTCGCTTAGAACACTGCGATTGCAATTCTGGCGGCGTCGCGTCTGGTGTTCGCCGTGGCACGAGACGGAGTTCTCCCTTGGTCTCCTTGGGTTGCCAAAGTTGTCGATGGCCAACCCCGAAACGCCGTCTTGGTCGTCTGGGGTGTGGCCTCTGTCATCACCTGCACGATTCTTCCGTCATCAGTGGCCTTTACTTCCCTGGTCTCGGCTGCGGGTGTTCCTTCAGCCGCAGCTTACGGTCTGATCTGCCTTTGTCGCCTTTTCCTGACACCAAAGCAATTCCCGAAGCCCGCTTGGAGTCTCGGACGCCTGAGCAAGCCTTTCCAGGCAATTGCTGTCTTGTGGAACGGCTGGGTCGTTGCTGTGCTGTTCTCGCCCTATGCTTTTCCGGTTGAGGCATCGACACTCAACTATGCTCCGGTCATCATGGGCATCGTCACAATCTTCGCTATTCTTTCTTGGTGGTTCATTCCTGCAGAAAGATGGCTACCGTCTCAAAGAATCCAGGAGACGTTGCTTGCGGGAGAACGTCCGGTTGAAGAGTAAGCAGCAGAGCGCTGTCTGCGAGAATATGGTAGCAAATACTTGCTTACCGGATAATTGTAATTCAATAGAAACCTCTAATTAGCTAGATACTTAGGCATTGTAATCGAAAATAATACGGACGGTGGAATAACCAACAACTGCATTTTCGCTCTACTCGCTAATGAAGCCTTTACCCCTGAACGCCATGCTCAAAGCTGCGCCCTTGTCTCAGTAGACCCTTCCTTCGTCAACTCTCTCTTCCCTCTCTCCAACTCATCAGTCAAGTCGTACTTCCAAATCCATTCCATTCGCTTTGACAGATTGTCGGCAACCCACTCAGAGTCCTCGCTGAACTCCAAGTCGTACAGCTGACCAGTCTCGTGGCTGTCGACGACAAGTTGCTGGGATCTCTCTCTTCGCGTCTTGTCATACGTCGAAAAAGCTGCCTCAAGTTGACTGGCATCAGAGATGGAGCCCAGCAGGTTGCCGAGGATGTAAGCATCTTCAATCGCCATGCCCGCGCCGGATCCCTTGTGAGGCGTGGATGCGTGAGCGGCGTCTCCCAGTAGGCAGAGTCGCCCCTCGAAGTACGTCGGACTGGGCGGGTGCTCAAATAGTGCCCATACGTCTGGCTTCTGCATAAGCTGGATAATTTGTCTGGACTTCTCGCCCCAGCCTTCGAAGTCGCGGATCATGTCCTCCTTCTCTACAGAGACAACCCACTTGTCCGACTTCCACTCCTTAGCACTGGCGAAGGCCACCACTAAATTCCTGATTAGCCATTGTCACAAGACTGAAGGTGGAAGAACAATTGGCTCACCGTTCATGATTTTACCCTTTGCGACAGAAAAGGTCAAGATGTGGCCATTTCTGCCGAAGTACATCTGGGCGTTCTTTGCCAATTCCTCGCCCAGAAGCTTCTCCGCCTCCTCCATGGGGATAAGACCTCGATAGGCATACTTTCCAGAGAAAACAGCTTTGGATGCCGGGTGATCCTCGCCGAGCATCAAACTCCTCAATCTAGACTTGATACCGTCACAGGCGATGACAGCATCGTGGCGAGCGGTCGTGCCATCTTGGAAAGTGAGCAGAACGCTTTTCCCGTCATCCTCGTACTTTTCTGCCCTCTTGCCGAATACGGCAACTCCGTCGGGCAGTAATTTGACCAACTCGTCCAAGAAGTGTGCCCTGTGAATACCAGTCTGACCGGTTTCACATTTTTGCCGATAGATCAGGTCTCCCTCTTTGTTCTTGTCGTTACAAGTCTGGCCGTACCTGAAGTCGAACCATACGTCCTGGTGGTCTTCTGATTCGTTGTGTGTTGCCTGATTCTCGAAAGCTTGCCGCACGTGGGGTGAGATCAAGGACATAGCCCTTAGCGCGTTGGGGCCGAAAGACACGCCTGCACCGATCTCACCGAACTTTGGCGCCTGTTCGTATAGCGTCGTCGGTATTCTGTTCTGGAGGAGTTGAAGGGTCAAGGTCAAGCCCGCAATACCACCACCCACAACAGCCACATTGAAGGGCTTGTCCGGCGTCTGGCAAAACTCTGCTGGTGGTGCCATGTCGATTGAGGCAGAAATTTTCCTGTGATAACGAAGGGCAAAGTCTAAATGTGGTATTGTGAGGTGCTGGGCAGTTCAGACTACGTGAAACGACTTCTTGTAGCTTTGCGAAACAGATCTCCGTCCTTAGTCTGCAGACTTGCACGTAGATCACAGCGATGAAGAAATACGCAAAGATATATCGCTGGTGCTAGGAAATAAGGGCCGACAAAGCAGACAAATTTACCAAGGCTAACTGCCCCTTACTTCCTAGACCGGCTGCTCGGCTGGGACCTATGACGCTCTCGGTGATTCTGGCTGACCCCGTTCCCCCCCAACCCCGGCCGCGACCCACGTTACGCCAGTGCCGAAGTGCCCGAACGACAACGGAAGAACTGCATCGGTGGCCCGTCGGATGGGCAAATTCATTCGGCTGAAAGTTCCCAGCAGCTGACAGTCCCTCCCAGGCACGGGTGTAGCTTATCGGATCACGGGTTTTAGACATCGGGAATGGGGCTTCGAACAATGGACCATATGCCGAAGGCCAGCTTCGGGTGGCGGCGCAAACGTGCCACATGTGCATAGGTGGAATGCGGAGTATCATCTCGGCACTGAAGAGGGGAAAACGAGGGGAACGAATTGTAGATCGCATATTTCACTACCCTTCAATAATGTGAATCTCCGAAACTTTAAAGTCGTTGTTGTGCAGTCTAGATCCCCCCATTGGGGGCTGGGGGCTCATAGCCACTGAGCACTAACACCGTCTATCCCAGGCGCCACAGCTGCCAACGCGTTTTAGTGTCCAAGATAGTACCAAATAGCATGGTCATCCTGCCTCTACCCCGGACTCCGGTCCGAAGTCATCATGCTGTTGGTCTGGGGTAATTTGCTTCTAGTCCCTGGATCTCATCTCGCAGAGTTGAGATCCTCCCCGTGGGGAAAGAGTTTAAAAATGGTTCATATGGTCCCACTGCTTCTGTCAACCGATCAAGACAGTTTACACCAACATTTTATTCGACGCTAAGGGTACATCAGACTTTCTCGCTATCAAAATGACTGCTACCAAGCCTACCTTCATCTTCGTTCCCGGCGCGTGGCACTGCGCGACCAAGTTCGAGCCGGTGACTTCGAAGCTCGAGGCTCTCGGATATCCCACCAAGTCTGTTCAGCTCCCGTGCTATGGTGCGGAGCCTCCGCTGTCAGACTTCCAGCCCGATGTCGCGGCCATTCGACAAGAGATTGAGAAGAGCGTAGATGCTGGCGAAGACGTTGTGCTCTTCATGCATAGCTATGGCGGTATCGTAGGCTGCGAAGCTTGCCGTGGGCTGGGCAAGGCAGCTCGGGGGAAGGAGGGCAAGGCTGGTGGCGTTGTAAGACTGGTATTCTGCGCGGCCTTTATGGTTCCAGAAGGTAGGTTCTGGCCAAAAGATATTGAGAGGATCATGTGACTAATAAAACACCTCCAGGAGTCTCACTATTCGACATGCTTCAAGGCAACCCTCTTCCTTGGTTCATCGTGTCCGACGACAAGACAAAGGTTGACCCCGCACGCCCAGAAGAGATCTTCTACAACGACATGGACGAAGCCGCCATCAAGGAGGCAATCGCAGGACTCAAGCACCACAGCTACCAGACATTCTACAGCAAGCTCACGTACCCTGCGTACAAGGATATACCAGTAACCTACATCAAGTGTGAACTCGACAACGCGATTCCTCATCAAGGGCAACAGCAGATGATTGACACCGCTGGTGTAGAAGTAACCGTGGAGACGATGCAAGCGAGTCACTCTCCGTTCTTGAGCAAGCCGGATGAGGTCATTGCTGCCTGTAGGAGATCAGCAGGCGAGACTTTCTGAGGTACCACGGGTGGGGGTTCTTTAGGTTTTCTTGAAGATACGCCATGCAAGTAATATGCAGGGTCTCGAACTTGGGCTGCAGTATATCGCAGGAACGAAAGCTCGGCTCTTGTTTGGAGGAGACCTAGATCTAATGAATTCAAACAAGTATAGTCACGTTGGTCCAATTCTCGTGAGCGCTATGTGTGTGATTCGCTGGGCTTGACAGTGCATGGGTGATCGAGCTTACTGAATGATACATCATCACATGCAAGTCCCATCTGCTTGTTTGTAGGCATCTGTTGTGGTTCATCGCTTGGTATTTTGGTCATTTAGTCGCTAATAAGTTGTACATACTCTACTTCAAAACACGCATGTTCCCTTCAAGACTAACACGGCGGTTCCATCAAAGTCCCTGCATCGGCAAGCATCATCTCATCCGTGTAGCCCAGGTGCGCCATGCTCGCGTCCATCGTTGGGAAGAAAGGCATATCTTGCCCATAAGAGTCGAAGAGCAGCGTCCGTGGTGACATTGGAAGTAGTATATCGGTCGACGGAGTAAGTGCCTGGATCACGTTTGTTCCTCGACCAGTTTCGCTACCCAACATTTGTGGCCCATCGGTGCTCCCGGTCGTCAGTGAGACACTCTGGTCCAGGCTGTTGATCTCCCCCGCTTCTGATGTGCTCAAGTGTCGATGGTTGCCAAAGTATCGGATGTCTCGCTGAACAGCATTCGAGCCGAATTTTGAAGCTTCATTCGATAACGGGCCGCCTTCGTGGACACTCCCAAAGAGCTCGCCGATGAGCATACCCTGGCACTCCATTTTCCGGCGTGCCCTCCGTTCTCGGTACAGGACACATGCGCTCTGGAGATGTTCGACGATGGCGAGCTCTCTGCTTGCAACAGGATCGTGCTTGCTGAACTTCTTCAGTAGCGCTTGCGCGTCGTTCAAGCCATGGTCTAACGGGAATGTGCTGTCTAGGTCACCAAAGACGGCCAGGCCGAGGACCAGGGCGGAGACAAAGACAGAGTTGATGACAAAGGGATGTCGTTTAGCTACGTTTTTGTCCGGGATGAGGGTTGAGAGGAGGTCGATTGTCCGTATTGCAGAGTCCACGCAGGCATGGACCAGAAGTTGGTCGGACGGTGATGACAAGGGCGTTTCCTCGGCCCACATGGACGTCGTCCGGGTGCGCGCAATGTTTCTCGAGACAAAGTCGATGAGAAAGGGCCGTGATAACAGCATGATACTCCAGTAGTATGCTTCTTTCATGTGGTAAAGCCCTATGTTCGGATATCTCTCACCGTCATCGGCGTCAACATACTTGCTGGGTTTCATCCCGTCAGCCGCGAGACCATCACTGAACTTCGCGGCCCATCGACGGTGCTGTTCGCTGATACGCTCGAGTGTTTCTGTAGACACCATACGCTTGGCGTAGACGTCGTTCAAGATCGATTCGAAGATCGCGCAAAGATCCAGTGAGGCAGAGTAGTTCTCGCTTGCTGATGTATCTCGGGTCTCGGAAGTCGCCAACGGCCGACCTAATGAGGCGGCCAAGAATAGATCCAGAACCCGGAGGGCTTTCCACAGTCGATCCCGGGTGTCTTGCTCTTGTGTTGAGAAAAGCGCCGGGACGTCTCGCCGGTGAATCCCCAGCGCGTAGGCGGCACGGGTAGCGACGCCCAGGTGCATGAAGGCTGAGTTGCGTCGCGATGCACCGAGGAGGTAGACGGTGATGAGGATGTAACTGCGCACCGTGTTGTTTGTTGGGTTCTCCATGGCATACGAGACTGCCAGGAATCGACCATAGTTGAAATACTTCTCTGCATCGGCATCCCGATCATCCGGGCATCGTTGTGCGCCGATGCCGAATATCAGAAAGAAGATACAGTTCATGGCCTCTTCATCTTGACTCATGGGCTCTCCACGCAGCCAATGTTCGAGGTCCTTGAGGATTTCAGACTCATTGAAAACATCGAGAATACAGTTTGTTGCACGGAGATACCACCGCAGCAGATATCTTGCCTGCTCAGTGCTAGGCTTGGAGGGGATATCGGCGGGATTCGTGATGATCCATTTTGGGCGGCCTTCAGGAGTCGCCTCGACCATGATATGCCGTAAGGGATCATCAGTGAAGGGGCACAGGCCGACGCGATCGCGCACAAGCCGGCGTATCACTTTCAAGAAGGCCAGATTGGCGGCGTCGCCGATGAACATGAACCGTCCCTTGCCATCTGCGATGAGTCGCGATACCTTTGGTACCGCAGTGCTCTGTGAGAGGTGGCTGATTGACGACGACGCGCGCCGGTGCTGATGGTGATGACTCGGTGAAATGACAGCTTCATGAAAGGAGGCAGTCGGCCCATAAGAGCTGAAGAGATCCTGACCGTGACCGGGAGGACTGCCTCGGTGAGGAGGAGCAGGAGGAACATGAACCTGCGGGCGATCAGGACTTCTCACGGATGACGAGTCCTCCGCAGCGGCAAAGTTCGTCGGCGGGCCGATGAAGGTGCAGTCGGCTTCGACTCTGCGGATCACGCACCTCCGACAGGGTTGTTGACCATCGCAGCGTTCCTTGCGCCGCTTGCAATTCCCGCAAGCCTTGACGCATCTACGCCGCTCGCTCTGACGGACTCTTTTCGTAGGCATCGTTTGCTCGCCTTCGACGTTCAGTCTGATTGAAGATACGATATGGAAAAAGCGACAGCCTCAAAGCTGTCTCAATTCAACTAGAGACGAGTGCGTGGCAAGATAGGAGACGTTGAACCTCGGGGCTGGGGGGCCAGACAGGACTACGGCGGCGGCGGCCAACTGAGGCAAAGGATGGTCCGGGGCAGAGCTCTTGGCTTTCCCTTTCCCCCTTTGCTTGCGCGCGCGCTCTCTCGCTTCTTTTGCGGGGGAGCACTTTTCCAAGGGGGCCCTAGCTCACAAATGTTTCCCCAGATTTTGCTGCCCGCTGCGGCGCAGTTCAACCATCCCGCGCCTCAAAGGATGCCGAGGTTTTTGGAGGTTCAAAGAGAAATGGGGAACAAGTCAGAACTCAAGAGTCGTCAATCCCACGGTGGCGTAGCCAATAATGGTCGGGGTCTTACTTCTGCAGTAACTACCATTGGCTGTGGTTGGTTGCTTGAAGAAACGGGTTGTTGGGTTGGATCGTCAACCGCTTGGCTCGGCATCCAACAGTGTCCCGCATCCGTTCCGTCAACCCACGCGACATATCCACCGCTTACAAAACCGACGGCATTTTGAGCCATTATTCAACTCATGTCTTCACTCGAAAGAGTCGAAGACGATGCAATTGATATCCAATACGGACTGGATCATCGTTACTACTCTCCACCGTTGCGTTACCACGTCAGCTCTGCAAGGAAGACACTGCTGGTAACACCGAGAGAGGGCCAGCATAGAAATATGACAGCGAAACTGGCTTGGAAACAACTGACTAAAAGCCAGCAGCGACTAGCATAAGTGCCACCTCCCGAGGACACCATTTCATTAAACTGTAATGTCAAACGCACCTATCTTTAACCAATAAAACACTCAAAGCTTGTCCCTTACCCGACATGACCTCAAGCCCACCGATGCCCTTATCCGACGATCGCCCCAAGACCGAGAGGAAACGGTTCCATTTCATTGTCCCAAGCCTGAGCGCGGCCCCAGGAAGCGCCACCTCACTTGCCAGCCCCTCAAGCTAGACCCGCAGTAGCTGCGCCCATTTCCGAATCCATCGGGAGCCGGGTCTGTTGGAAGTGGTTCTAGAGTTGCTAGGTACTGCTGGACACTGGGACAGCACACATGTACCCTTCCGCCCGATTCCCGATGCGGGTCCGACGTTTCGTTGTCCACTGCTGTAACGCAGCTGCTTCCGACCTCTCGCGAATCGCCGAATCGGATCGGGGAGTCAGATCGAGAGCTACGGGAAATGCAGAGCGGATATGGGCACGATGCGCAGTCGCAGAGCTGAAAGTCGGAAGAAATAATGATCCTTTTTTCGTAATTGACGATTATCGTAACTCTGATAGCTGCACACAATCAACAGTAGATTCAACGGTTTGGTTACTCTGTACTCTCTGTATTACTCTTTACTCAATCCAGGCCTTGTACGCGCGAGCCAACTGAGAATCGTTTCGAACGGCCTTGTTTTCACAATAGCAAGCGAGCAACAATGGCGGACTCAAAATACTCATCCGTCGCTGAGACGAAACAAATCTTGGATCTCGTCCTGAGTTCCGTCCAGATACCAGCAGAGGCAGAAAAGATCTCAAAGGCTGTGCAGTTTTCGGCGACCCGCGACTTGCCCTATTTCCCGATTCCATTCAAAGAAACGGAGTTGGCCTCAGCTCTGAAGGCTATTGAAGGTGGTGTAGCAGGGGCCCTTGCAGCCACCAAGGATGGCGTCGCCTCCGGCAAGAAGGTGTCTGTGAGCTTGGAGAAAAGCACCGCGTTCCTGATTCAGGCGTATTTGGCAACCGTTGGAGGATATGGCAAACTCGATAAAGAAGTGAAGCAGTTTTTAAAAGGTGAGTTATGTTGTTGCAATTTTGAAAGCAACATGAAGTTTTCTGACTTGTGCCCTTAGATACGGATTTGCTTCAGGCACAGTCAGATCCTTATCGCCGCATGTCGGCGAATTTGTATGAGACAAAGCAGCCGGGTGAGTACTACCACATTCATGGATCTCTTGAAGCATCGACAACGCTCGGCATGATCGGTCTTGAGGCATTTAGGCCAGACTTGAAAGATCATAGTGCTATTGTTGAGGCGATAGAGTCTCATGTGAAGCAATTTTCGGTCGATGAACTTGAGCGGATGAACGCCGATAAGCGCCAAGCTGGAGTGCCTGTTCTCAAGCATGAGGATTTTATCAAGACGCCTCATGTAAGTCTCACTTGTTGAGTTCGCGATATCACTGCTAATCAGCTTACAGGGCAAAACTAACACCACACTTCCTCCGTGGAGCGTGGACAGTCTTGAGACTTCAACACCGCCAGCACCTTTGCCGACTACATCTGACAAGCGGGTACTGTCGGGTGTCAAGGTCCTCGAGCTGTGCCGCATCATCGCAGGACCCGTCATAGGACGCATCCTCGCAGAGTACGGCGCGGATGTTCTGAAGATTACTAGCCCGAACCTTAGCGATGTCCCGTTCTTCCAAGTAGATGGCAACATGGGCAAGCACGCCGCGGATCTCGACCTCAAGACTGAGGAGGGGAGAAAGCACTTTGAGACGCTGCTGGCCGAGGCGGATGTTGTGCTGGATGGTTACCGCCCTGGTGCCCTGGAGAAGCTGGGGTACGGCGCGACTGCGTTGACAAAGCTGGCCAAGGAGCGTGGAAAGGGGTTCGTGTACGTGAATGAGAACTGCTTTGGGTACCAAGGGGAGTGGTGCCAGCGGCCCGGCTGGCAGCAGATTGCCGATTGTGTAAGTCAACATGTTTCTGTTTTCGACACTGCAAATTGCTGACTGAGTTGTAGGTGAGTGGTGTGGCGTGGGCGCAGGGTCAGTTCATGGGGCTTGACGAGCCCGTCGTGCCTCCGTTCCCGATTTCCGACTACGGAACGGGATGCATGGGCGCCATCGCCGCTCTCACGGGTCTATACAACAGAGCGACGCAGGGTGGCTCATGGCACGGCAAGGCATCGCTCTTGCAGTATGATCTCCTTCTCATCAAGGCCGGAAAATACCCAGAGGACGTCCAGGAGGAACTGCGCAAGCTCGCGGGCGACGATTTCCTTGCATTGCGGCACAGTCACAGCGTCGATCAGATTTCTGGCACGGCGCTCAAGGCAATGAAGGGGTATGCGCCAGAACTGTTCAGCTCACCCAACGTTCGCGAGAAGTGGTACGCGAGGCGCTACAAGGCAGAGGTTGAGGCTGTGAGCCCCGTGGTTGAGATTGAGGGCGTTGAGATTGGGTTCAAGAGGGCTAGCAGGCCGAACGGCTCAGATGAGGCGAGCTGGGATTTTGGCCCAGAGGAGGATCACCGCATTGTTGCGCAGACAAATGGGGTTAAGAAGGCGTGAATCAATGTCAAAATAGAATAAAACCTCATCTAGACTTTTGAATAATGAGTTTCAGTGACCATCAAAGTTGCCCCAAACTCTCAAGCTGTTCGTAGTACGCTCGTTACAAAGCTGAACCACGCGAATTGGCCCATGGATCCAGCGCTTTAAGACTGTGAAGTTGGGCTTCGCGTACACATCGTGAGCGGCTGTGAACACTCATCTCACGTCTACTATCACGAGATATTACTGAATGATAGATATGATGACCATCGTATCATTGGAGTAAATCCGCACGGATTTAGGGGTACAGCAGAGTCACGTCTCACAGCCCGAAGCCGAAGCCAATGATCCTTCCCGCGCGCGTGACTCCGCCAAAACGAAGCCTGGAGCCATCAAACTGCGGGGTCCCCGGGGCAAGCCGACCGGAATAGGTGCATAATGAGTGCAAATATGGCATGTCCTTTGTTCTATCAGTATGTTTGTGAGTCTCGGCAGACACACCCCTCGCGTCGGATCTCTCCCCCGTACCCGAAAAGAGAGTTGCGTGTGTTTCCCGGACCCGGGGGGCGGTTTCCGGGAGCGTAGAAGCCCAGCGCCGGTGGTACCCGCACAGCAACAGCGCACGTGCAATTACAAAGCAATGGCGGGTAATGCACGCGCTGTGATTGGGAATAAGTATCCTCCATCGAACTGCGGGACGCTTTTGGCAGTCGGGGTAGTTGAAGTTAGCTCATCTTTCAAGATCACGTCGTCTCACCGAGAAAAGCATTATCTACATCATCAGCGATACTCCCTAGAGTTAACCAGAAACTCATCATACAACACACATTCACGTCTCTTCACCATGGGCTCATTACAGAACGGAGACGGCCAGTACCAAGGCCTCGGCCAGGACTTCACCAAGCAGGTCATCGCCTCCATGGGATCGGAGACGAACCCCAGACTCCGTGAGATTCTCACTTCATTCATCCAGCACATCCATGACTTTGCTCGCGAGGTCGATCTTACGACAGATGAGTGGATGATGGGTGTCAACATGATTAACTGGGCGGGCCAAATGTCAAATGACCGACGCAACGAGGGCCAGCTGCTTTGCGATGTTCTCGGACTCGAATCGTGAGTTTCATGATGAACGATGCAAATTGCGGTGAGGCTAATGAGACTGTCAGGCTCGTCGACGATATCACCAACAGAGTGGCCACAAAGAACGGCCAACCCGGCACAGCAACAGCCATTCTCGGCCCCTTCTGGCGGGCCGACACCCCTGTCCGCCCCAACGGCAGCACAATCGCCGTCAAGTGCCCCGAGGACGGCGAGCTCGCTTTCATGTACGGCCAAGTGACGTGCTCTAACACCGGAAAGCCGCTGGCAAATGCCTCAGTCGATGTCTGGCAAGCATCCACAAACGGTAAGTCTCAAAGATCAGGCTAAGCTTTTCTGTTGGTGCACATGTCGTCTAATGTTGCACCACAGGTCTGTACGAGCAGCAAGATGCCGATCAGCCCGAGCACAACCTGCGTGGAGTCTTCAAGACGGATGCGGAGGGACGTTATGGATTTTACTGCCTGCGGCCCACGCCTTACCCAGTGAGTTTTCCCGGGATGCGTTGATGAAGTTGCTCTTGGGTATTGACGACATCTCTCAGGTACCGGGTGATGGCCCCGCTGGAAAGCTTTTGGACCTGCTCCACCGCCACCACTTCAGACCTGCTCACATTCATCTCATTGTAAGTAATCCACTCGAATGCGCATATCCCAACGCAGGCACTAACAACTCTCCAGGTCAAATCAGAAGGCTTCAAGTCGGTAACAACACAAATCTTTGACGAGGACTCAAAGTACTTGGATGACGACTCTGTGTTTGCGGTGAAGGATGGTCTGACTGTGAAGTTTGTTGAGAGAAAAGGGGACCCCAAGGCTGCCAAGGAGCTCGAGTACAACATCAAGTTGGCTGCCGAGTAAGCTGGAGAGGAGACTGGATCTTGTTCATTAATTATTATGGCAGGCTGAAGCATGAATACCAGGGAAAATGCCTTTGCTGAAGTCTGCTCCGCATTCGTGGGGATCGGCAATCCAACCGTTGTGTTCAACTCATTAAGCGATCAGCTAGAATTAGAGGACTGCAATCGCTGAGGACGATCTTCGGATGCCTTACGCCTAGTCCGCCGTAAGCAGTTCCTGGTGGAATTCTTTTGCCTCAAGTTGCCGCATCATGGGTGGCCTTTCCTGGCAGTACTTGCACCGCTCTTGATAGCTTGTCGGATACTACCAATGCTGCGCCGAGCTATGAGCCTCAGTTCATTGATCTCAAAGCTGTATCATCTCCTTTATGGAGCCACTATATAAACGTGGGGCAGCAAGGAGACATCTTGCCGAGGGGGATAACATTATCAACAATTTCCATGATGCCAAGTGGATGTTGACCGTTTCAACGCAGTCGCTGCTCTAGGACAACTGTCCCATTAAGCGCACAATAACGTCGGATACATGCCCCCATATTTTCTCTTATTTAACGTCCTTCTTGAATTCGTGTGTGATGGGAATGGCGGGAATAGGGCTGTATCATCTTACTGCTAGCTACTTATTACTCTGATGAATGGTGTACCGACGTTAACTCGTGCTCAATGGGATACATGTGGCAGCAAGCTTAACTTATCGCTACTATCAAGTTACGTACCTACTTCGTTCCTAATCTTGAACACAAGATTAACTACTTTGTTTCTTTTCCTCTTCTTAAGGAGTTAATAAATTAGTCCGGGCCTATATAAAAAAAGCTTCTAAAATAATAGATTTTATTAACTATATAAAATATATACATATTTATAAAAAAGCCTTTATACTTTAATAAACTAATTTAGAATATTAATATTTTACATATTTATTATATATAAATTAAATAGTTTTAAGCTTTTATAAGCTATATTTGAATTTTCGAACTTTAATTTCTTAATAAATCGAGTACTATACCTTTTTTTATTATACTTATATAATTATAAATCAGAAAATTACTAAATTATTATAAACTATAAAAATTTAATAAATAGTACTACAGCTTAGATAATTTAATAAACTATATAGCCCTTTACTTTTTTAAGATCTTAAACTATATTAAGCGAAAGATTATCGTTATCGAGGAGTAAATATGTATATATAATCGTATATAGTATAAGTAAGTTAAGCCCATATAGCTAGCTAGCTCAAAGTGGAAGGGGTTAGGGCCAAGTTATCTAAGGTATTGCCTCTTACGATAATATATATATAGCATTAATTAATATACCTACTGTCCTTAACATCTCTATTCTTATTAAATCTATCCTTAGCATCTCTATCCTTAGCAACTCTGCCCTTAGTATCTCTGCGCTTAGTGTCCTTGTACTTTTTACCTCTGTCTTTTTACTACTTTTCCTATAAAGTATTCTACTATGTATAATTCGTAGACTATGAATGGCGCAGGGGACCTCTTTTAATTATTTATAATATTATTCTTTTAGTAGGCGTTTCTTTTGCTTCTAATAAGAAAACGCATCCATATCCTCGTCGTCAGACTCGTAAAGCTTCGGGTCTGCGGCAGCTGTGAGCGAGAATGCCGTGAGAAGGTTGGCCTGCAGCTGCAACAGATCGTAGCTGGGCAGGTCGGCTTCGCGATCGGCGTAGACCTTGATAAGCTGTCCGTCGACCACAAGTTCCCAAGGCTCTAATCTCGTTGCCCCAGGTGTCTTGTGATCTATGGGCTGGAACGCGTCACGGGGATTGCAGTTGAAGTCGGCACGATCCGTCATGTGGAAACCTGTCTTTCGAAGCCAATGAAAAGTCATTTCCTGACACCATCGGAATCTCTCGGCCGGCTGTTTTTCTGCGCGACGTGTGCTCATAGAGTGACGAGGATTCGACTGATTGGCAGTCTTGAGGTCCGTCGCAACGCCGTCGTCTCCCACAGGCTCCTTGTATGGTGGTCCTCTTGGCTTAAGCATGAACCTGCCGTCTGCCCACCACTTATGCAGGTGGGGGTTTAGGCAGACCATGTTGGCCGGCTCATCAATGATGTTATCGTCGTCTTCTTCGCACAGGATTCTCTGAGCTTTGATCACTGCTTCCTTGCCAAACCAGGCTTGCATTGCATCAAGCAAGGGCCACAACGCTTCTTCGCCGTTCAACAAACCAAAGGGAATGATATGGCAGACTTGAGGTGTTTCCATATTTGTGACAATACATCGTTCGTTGTCGCGCTTGAGTGCCTGCAATGAAATAAAGTCAGTGATGGCTCGCACCTAGTCCTGTGTCACATTCAATACTCACTTCGGCAGATTTTGCTTTGTTGCGCGTATTCTTGGGGGTCTTCTGGGGCGTCTTCTGGGGCGTCTCCTTGGCCGTCTTCTTGGGTATTTTCTGCGGCGTCGCCGACGGTTCAGACGTTGAAGCTGGGCGTTTTCTTGTCGCAGTTGATGCAGTGTCGCCCGGCGTTCCTTCACCAAGCTGTGCCCCGCTGGAATCCTTCTCCTGGTCTTTCCCTTTCGTGACTGAGAATCTAATCAGTTTTTGTGGATCAAATTGGAGTGAGAAGATCATACACATTCTGAGCAATTTTGGATATTTGGCTGCTGCATCGTCAAGAGCTTTAAGGTACTCTTGAAGCTTTCGCACCTTGCGCTTCTCGGACCGGATTGCTTCAAACCTTGCTTCAATGTCCTTTAAAGAGTGAACCTCTAGAGCCCAAAGGCCGCTCCAAAAACGAGCTGTATCGAGATTCTTGTGATGATTGGGTTGCGGCAATGACTCGTAAATCTTTTTGATGAGAGGTAGCTTCTGTTTCAGATCTCCGAGGTAATGAGTGTGCTGAATATGCTCTGTTTCGGACGTCAGGAACGACTCGAGTTTGTCAAGTTGTTCGATGGTAGGTCGCGTCCTGGGATTTTTTCGGCTCAAGTATGCGTGCAACAATGGCGTAAACTTGGCTTTCCATTTCTCGGTCTCTCTGTCCTCATTCGCCATGTTTCCTTCGCAGCTAAATTGTCAGAAATGTGCCCACGCATTCCACGAAGGGGGGACTTAATTACTGATGGCGCAAGACCAAATACTTCTCTGTATTTCTCGCTGTGCCCCTCCGACTTCACCACCTACTATCCTAACCAGATCCCCGCCTTGGTCGTACCGATACGAACCCTTTTGATTTCACCTCGTTTCTCAGAGAAAACTATTGCCAGGGCTTAGTCGTAGTCGAGGACTAACGTCTAAATCCTCTGAGTCCGGTTTGGCAAAAAACGAAGGAATCCGATATCTGTAGACTGTTAGCTTCACAATTTTGTAAATACCCTTAGACCCGAACTTGACGACGTGGAAGCGATCGAAAATTTCGGTAACCGGTGTCCCTTGGAGAGATCAAGACGAAAAGAAAGACTCGAGGCGAAGTCCAGCTGGGTAAGGTGAAGTGGTCGAGTGGGCTTTCTCCGACATGGTCCCACAATACCTTATTTTGACTAGGACACGGGACGAATCAGAGGCCTTGATCGTACCCACATTAGCCCCCAGGGTACGTGCCCACTGCCGGCATGAGCAAAAAGCTTGGTGCTCTGAGAAGACTACCTACCTTGCCTCACGCACCTGACCGCCAGCGTCGGCGTGCTGCCTTAATTACCTTTGGCGAGAAGCAGACATCGTTTCTCATCTCGGTCAAGTATTACCCTGCGGCCATGGATGCCGCTTCTATCCCTGCTTTGCTTCCATTCACACGACTTTTCGGCACCTTCCGCCGGTCGATTGTTCGCACTCTTGATTAATCGGCCGGGCCGCGATCCAACCCTCTGCTAGTCTCGACGGCATCCTTACCTTTACACGTCTCTCGGCGACGTAAGCACCGTAGTGCCCTTGAGTCGTGGTGGATTGGGTTCCCAACCCGCAAGTCACTTCAATCTGCAAGGTTTGAATGAGAGACTATCAGTTGTCTTATGAGTTCTGCTACCGGGAGATACTTTTTGGCTACTTGAGGTAGCCAACTCTTGTACTTTAATGGTGGACGAGGAGAGCATTGCTACCACCACGAACTCGGTCGCGGACGCCGCGCAATACCCGTGCCCGTTGACGAGAGTCGCTTACAAACCTTCTCGAATGGAACCGCCAATTGCGATCGGGATCTCCTTCCGCAAATTTTCAGCTCATGTTACGGTTCGACAGGTTGAATGATAGATGGTTGATTCATCTTATTGCTGATAGTGTTCGGTGCAAAGGAAAGGGTCTAAAACATGCTTACATAAGGATGCCACCTTGTCTTGGATTGTGATGCCAGCTTCCCAGACTGTTGAATGCGACAGTAGTAGCTTATGTAAGTTGCCAATCAGTGCATGATAGGTACCTCTAGGTAGGTGATTCTTTCCTGATTGCACGGACGCGTGGCTTACCTTAGAGCACGCTCATTGTTGAGCGTGTCACCTTTTGGATCATAGGTATATTATATTTATGTAGAATTGTACGTTATGAAGAGGTTTTCATTGCAAAATAGAAAGAACTCTAGCTCTCGCTTTTCTTTTCGGGCTCCTTGATCTTAGGCTTCTTGGCTTCCTTCTTAGTTTCCTCCTCGGCTTTCCTCTTGGCCCCATTTTCCTCCCTCTCTACTCCCGTCTCAGGGCTACCATCGAGATTGCCGAGGTTTTTGACAGACATGGTCACTACCCTGCCACTCTGCCACAACAAAAGCCAGATCCGGTATTGTGCGGGTGCCGTTTTCTTGACGATCCCCACGGCCCTCCCGTCAGCACGGGCTTTGCCGCCCACCACGAACTGCGGGGGCTTCGCCAACGAGAAGTTCGACGCAGCTGGGAGGTCCAGCTGCGGCATGGTGCCGAAGTCCTTCGGGTTCATCTCTCCGACGACGTTGATGTCGCCAAAGACGACGAGACCGCACCGCTGCCTCGTAAGGAGGACGTTGAGCCGGGCGCGTTTCGTCGTGAACCCGGGACCAGGGTTACGGGCCTTGGTGCCCATTACGACAAAGACAATGTCGTTTTCCTGCCCCTGATAACCATCAATGGTCGATGCGGGACTCATCGTGGCGAGCTCAGGGTAGTGTTTCTGCGTCCATTTGTTCAAGAGTTCCACATTCGCCTTGTATGGTGACAGAATCACCACCTTCGAGGCGTCAACGGACTTCTCCTTGACAAGTTGGGATGCCATGTTGAGGGCAGCGTGAACCTGGTCGTTGCACCGTTTATTCCCGTTGACGTGATCGATTCTCACGATTGTATCGGGGCAGTGCACGAAGATTGGCGCGAACTTGCCCTCCTTGGGTGCGACTAATTCCGGGAAACGCTCCCTGAAGAAGCTCTCCAGAAGATGGCCGTTCTTGAACTTCGGCAAGTCGATGCAGCAGCTCTCTCCATATCTTACCGGGATGTCCGGATAGATGGTTTTACCGACGATGTCGAACAGACCATTGGCGGTTCGGAGTTGCAGGCGCAAACGGTAAGCCAGGTGCCCCGATGCCATCAAGAAGCCCTGGGCTGATATGAGGCCGTCGTTCGAAAATTGGTTGAACACGTGACCGGCTGCGTCGATGCAGTACTCATCGGTCAACACAGTGGGTGGAAGTTGCTCGGTGTCCCCGCCACACAACAATGGCAGCATCTTGTTGCCCCAAGCACTCGCCAGGTCGCCGCGGTCCATGTTTGCCGCCTCGTCGATAGCGACAGCCTTCGCCTGCATCCACCAACGATTGTACACCTCTGTGACAGATACGCACGCAGAAGGCGTAGTAGCCAGGATGTCTGCCATGGCGACAAGCTGATCCATGGCAGTGGACAAGGTCTTCTGATGGGGTGGAGCCGTTTCGGTATACTCGTCCCACGTGATCTGCCCAGTGGCTACAGCTCGAAGTTTAGCCCAGTCCCGTCTGGTATCGACCTGGCGTTGAAGCTGGTGCAGCGCCTCCTTATCGTCTTTGTGGAGGTCTCGGACAGCAGGGGAACGCAAAAGCACCAAGAGCCAAAAGGCCACGGATAACTCAAGGCGCCAGGGTGCCTGGCCATACGACAGTTGAGGGGCAGCCATGTCTCCAAGACGAGGGTCTTCCAGCAGAGCTTCGAACGCGGCAAGCTCGTGGGCTCGCTTGTATCCACGTAATACCATTCGATGGCGAGCTCGCGGCGTACCCTCGGGAAGATTGTCGTTATATCGCAGGCAAACTTCACGGGTTATCTTGTCGGTGCGGACCGCAAAGTTGGTAACAGCCACGTGAGCTGGCGCCGTACAGAAAACACGACCGAGACTATACTCCATGGCGAGTGCGGTCTTCGCCATTTCAGTGGTCTTGCCATAACCCGGGCCCTATAAAACTGTTAGTCTTCTCTTCTTTCGCACAAAACAGGGAAGAATGACTTACTGCTGTGACGATGGCGATTCCCAGTAGCACCTGGCGGCAAAACGCATGCCACCGTTCTCGATCTTCCTCCAGGCTTATGCTCGTTAGAGCCTCCTCGTAGCGGACATCCTTGCCAGGCAAGAATGACACCTTGGGTAGATGACGGAGAGAAGGCGGGCTTCCAATAATTGTGGCGGACGTCACGGCCTTAGTGAGACCGGCCACGCCTTCGCCTTCAGCTGCAGTGCCAGACTGCATCATCCACTCCGCATAGCCTTGCCCACGCATTGTGAGTTGAGCGAGATGACCACTTTCGGAATCCGGCTCGTTCCACTTGTCGACGGCAATGATCTTGCGCTCGGTGTCGTCCAAGATGCCAAAAAAGTGGAGGGCTACGCAGCTCTAGTGCGCCATCCCAGCCGCATTGGCATCTGCTCGACTTTCGAAGCTCACAATGCTGCATTGACTGCCGGGATCTTGAGGGGGCGGGCGCACCACGGCAAGCACAGCCTCGGACTTGCCACGAGGGTGAGGCTCTAGGGCCTGGATGCCGCTCGTGTACGGCTTGAAGCTACATACCCTACACGTAGTCAGTACATGAGAGTGAGGTGGATTCCCTGGGTGACTTACCAAGAGCCAGAGGGCTTCTCGTCGTCCTCGTTCTCCCACATAGTGAGAGAGACTTGTTGGTCCAAGAGCTTTGCCCATACAGGCTCGAACTGATCCATGAACTCTTTAGGAAGAGGAAGAATAACAAAGTAGTTATTCTTGCGTTCAGGATTGGGAACGAAGTAGGCGTGCAGCTTGACAGCAGAGATAAGTTGAGCCTGCCGCCACACATACAAGTCGTTCTGTAGTAGCGACTGCGTTGTGACGGTCAACATGGAGTTGGCGTCGTTGAAACTGATGATAATGTTAGTATTGTATGAGAGCACTCGGTTCCATCTGTAGCCATACCTGTGGACGGAGCTGTACGCAGCCTTGCGCGGGTTTTTGGCGAGAAAATCTGCGCCGCGTTCGGGATCGAAGTTGTGAGCATCGCCATAAGGGTAGTTGAAGGGTGGCGGCAGATTCTCGAAGCTGAAGCTCTTCTGGATGTGGGTAGGTGTACCCTTTCTGATCATGAAAACATGAAAGGTTTTGCGACGAATGAAGTCGGATAGGGTGACTCCATGAAGAGAACCGTTCTCGTTCACAAACTTCTCAAGCTCGGGCTCCGACTTGTTTATGTAGGCCATACCCAAGCCTTCAATCGAGACTCTGTCTTTGTCATCCACGTCGCATGAGAAGGTGATGATCGTCGTGCCAGGACCCTCTTGCAGCGAAGGGAATCTACTGAGCAGTTCAGGAGACGCCTCCTCGAACTTCTGAGTCCACTTCTGATGGTGAAATCGAATTCTAATGTCGAGAGTCGGAAAAGGATCGTATGTGCTCCCATTCTTTGTGTCTAGACAGCCCAACAAATTAGTTGCAGTGTACATCGAATGGCAATGATGGGATACTCACAATGAAAGCGCACACCGGAACCGTTATCCTCGTTGTCTGCGCCGTCCGGGAACTTCAAGATGAGGGCGATGTGAGGATCCAACCCATCGTTGGTTTCCACGCGGATCCTGGCTCCGATCCTGATGCCGCTGTCGTTGGTACCATGCGATGCAAGAACAGGACCTGACAGGTCGCCCAAGAAGATGGCACACTTCGCCATGATGGTCGGAGCGTAGTACGGTGACTTGCTCTCGGCGGGCTTGTCTTCGGCACCCTTGTTCTTCTTGGGAGGCATGTTGACCTTTTTCACTCCAAGTTAGCTGATGCCACGAGAATTGTTTCCCAAAAGATGACTTACCAAATGAAACATATGTTTCTCTCTCACCAACTTCACCACCTGCTATCTACGACCCAAGTCCACGCCTTGGCCGTACCGACACAAACTCTTTGGAGTCGCCTCGTTGCTCAGAGAAGACTATCACTAGGTAATAAAGTAGAGGTGATCTCAGATCAACCCCCGAATTCTCTGAGTCCGGTTTGCTTCACAAAAGAGTTTGAAATCTGTTGGCTGTTAGCTTCCTGATTGTATGAACACCCTGAAATCCGAATTCAACGCGTGGAGGTGATCGCGTAAATTTTGAGCGACTGGTCTGCGTTGAAGAGAGGAAAAGAAAAAAGGAAGAATAACTCGAGGTGAAGTTCAGCCAAGGTACCCAAGCTGAGGTAGGTAAGTTAGGCGGTCGGCTTCCGCACGGTAGGCCCCGGGTCTCCACCTCGACTACCGATGCGTTGAGCCAATCAGAGCCCGGGATGTAACCCATCATTTGATAATTTAGTCAAAATTAGTCGCGCATCTCAAGCAAGGTAGGTACTAAGGTGAGATAATATCCCGGCTTTGCCGTACCTGCCCGGACTCCAGTATGCTTTGGTTTGCTTGGCCAATTTCTCAATTACTAAGGTAAGGTAGGGTATACGACTGAGCAGAAGGTAACCCGACCGCTTGCAATTCCATTCACTTGAGCTTGATGAAGGATGGACAAGATAGGACGTTGCAGCAGTGGGTCGGCGTCCTGGAAGTCACAGTGCTGTTCTTGAAGCAACCGCATTATGATATCTACGCATTAAGTATCTTATAATTTTACTGGGGTGGGGGGCACGTATCGTAGTCGGCGACGTCCTCAGTGATAACAACACATCGAGTTCAATGGTAAAGGTGCATCAGGCATGGGACGCCCATTTCGTAGCCACAATGCCCGGCGCTTCCTTGGCTTGTCTTACACGATAGATTGCTACACGCCAGGGTAAGGTAAGGTAGTCCGCCTCGAGGCAGAGTGAAACGATGGCTTGTGTCAAGTACCTACAGAGTACTGGTCGCTGTAGCACCTGGGCCGCGCCATAACATATTGGAAGGGAAGGCACTGACGAGTTGTAGGCTACCGATGACACGACGGGCCAATCTTATGTTTGGCTCGTGATTTCTTCTTTTACTCGGCCTTTTACCAGGCAGAGAATACCTACAAGAACCATTACTCGAGAGAGGACTTTGGTGTAATCGAGGTACGCGATGGGCTGGCTAGATCCGCTGAAGTTGGTACATAAAAAGACGAAAAGGTGGATTTGCAAGGCGACTTGGGTTGTGCACATATCACTTCCACTACTTAGCCCTCGTGCAGGATCGGTGGGCTACACCAAGCAACGTTCCCCCTCAACACCAGCACGCAGTTGATCACCAGATTGCTGAGCTCCGTATAGGCCTTTAAGTCGCCCTTCTGATATGTGTCCCAATATTTATCGGGTGTTGATTAACCTGATTTCTACTACTCACCCTTGAAGAGGCAGTCCCTACCATTAACAGATGCAAAGAATTACCTATAAAGGCTATGAGGTGAAACGCTCCGCACTATTCTGCAAGTTGAGAGGCGTAGGCCCAAGACGCCATCTTCTGCTTCACAGCGATTGGCAAGAGTGAGCCGTTCTGTCCCTAGCATCTTAGTGCAAGGGCCGGCCGCCGGCTACCAGCAGTCATTCTCTTTGCATCCTCTTCGTAGGTATAGAGTTCGAATAGTCCGGTTCTGTGAGCGAGTTTGCATCATCGTTGTATTCAGCGTAGTACATTACCAGGATAATGAGCGTTTCTGTTGAGAGGTTGGCTGGATCAACGGAAGGTGATAATGAGATCCTTGGCGACGTAGTCCACGATGACGTTGCATGAATTCCAGAGATGTATCAGTATTCTGATGGCTGCGTTCAACAGCTCAGGCGACTGTGATCGTCCGTGTCTGTCTCTAAATGACAGAGATGACAAACAAGACTTTATTGATGGAAGGCGTCTTGCGTCAGCTGCGAGATCATGATCGTTTCACATCCTCTGGCTCGCTCTTGACCTCTTAGCATTCGTCAACAAACCGAGTTGAGGCCCATCTGTACTAGCAGAGTTCCGAGATGGCTTATCTTTGCATTTGCGAACAAAGCTGCGTTGAAGCAGCTGTTGTAATGGTGTTATCATGGACACATTCACTCTGGACATTACCAACGGTGTTGTTTCCAGCGTACTTGTATTATGTGGTAATTCATATCTGACCATTTTATAATGTAGCTTGCATGCAAACCACATGTCTCGCGCTTGCTCCCTGGGTAGCCATCTGACTATATTACCAGTGTGTAGGTCCGATAGTAGATCCATCGTCGGGTAGGATCTTCGTGACAGCGGCGCCGTTTGCGTCCAGGTTGTTGTTCTATATCACCAGTTAGCTGATTGGACAATTTAGAATAAAAGTGGGTCTCGCATGCCGCTATAGTGTTCCCCCACCATTCGGGGAACTCAGTGTTTGAAAGACCCAGAGCAAGTCCAGAGATAACGATGCAGAGGGCGGTGCCGATGTCGAGGGCTCCAGACAGAACGTAGTTGTAGCGGGCTGCGAAGCAGGTTAGTGAGTGACATGAGAACGAACTCCACAGGGGAAAGACTTACTCCACCAGCCGAAGAAGCGGTTGCGAACCCACCAGTTGAAGATGAGACCAACAATAACCCACTGGCCCAACCACCAGGTGGTGGCAGGAGGGATCATACCAGCGGCACCGAAGATAGCGGGGAAGAAGACGTAGCGGAGCATGCTGCGAGGGTAGCGGCGAGCGAGGAAGAACTGGATGACGGGGCAGATGGCACCGATGAGCCAGAAGTAGTTGACCCAAGAGTACAGCTGGCCGGCACCGAACATGCGGCGGGGACCGATGACACCCCAGATGACACTGGCATTGTAGAAAGTACGAGCGTTGGGGCAGGTGAGACCCTGGGCCTGATGGGAAGTGCAGACGCCGTCAATGTTACCACGGAGGAAGTTGTAAGAGGCAATCTGGACAAGGGACAGCCAAACGACGGCGAAGGTCTGGGCAGCGAACATGGTGCGAGGAGGAATCTTCATGTAGTGGCCGACCTTCATGTCAGACACGTACTGGAGACCGTTGTAGCAGAGCATGTAACCCCAAGACTTGAACAGCATCATGGCGACAGGGCGGCCGGGCGTCATGTATCCGACAATCATCTCAGTGATGACGTTGAGACCGGTCTGCTGGTTGGTGACAGCCTGGATGATACCGACGGGAAGAATGAAGAAGGCACCAATGATGATGCAAATGATGTAGGCCCACCAGGTCAAGTGAGTGTTCCAGACCTGGGAAGCGATCATACCAAAGGCAAAGCTGACAGCGAACATGGTCGCGAACCACCACTCGGGAGCCTCCTTGTAGCGGCGCATGAGCTTGAGGTGAATGTCAGCCTCTTCGTTGGAAGCAGACTTGGTGCGGTCGATGATGTCGCGGCCGTAAAAGAGACCGACGTGAACGAGGGTGCTGATGAGACCAGCGAAACCCATGCCGTAAGACAGGGAGAACGCAGGACCCAAGATGAGAGGAGAGTACTCCTTGTAGGCAGTCTCGTTGAAGGTGAACTCGGGAGTCAAGATACGACTGGTGTTGTACGGCTGAGCAAAGTGGTCAAAGTTGGAGTTGGCGCTGATGGGGAGGTAGCGGTAGAACTCGGGGCCGCCCCAAGCAAGACCGATGCAGCCGAGCATCATGATGATGATACCGGCACCGACGTTGGCGATGGCGAAAGCCGGTGTCTGCAGGGGAGAGAGCAAGAAACCGGAAATGGTACTCCAGTCAAAGGAGATTGGAATAAGACCGAGACCAGTCTGACCACCAAAGACCTGGTTGACGACAACGTTGTTGGGGGCGATCCAGCAGACAAATGTGAAGATCTGCAGGAACTGAGCAAACACTTCAGGAATCCACTCATAGACAAAGGTAGCGGCAGCCACAATGAGGAAGAACTTGTAGCGACCGATCCTCCAGCCGTTGGTAAGGGCGGGATCTGAGGATGAGTGGTCGTGAAGTGAGTGCATGACGGTAGTGGTGATGAGGGTCGCGGGCCAGACCATGGCGGCGGGCCAGACGAGGTAACGACGCAGAATACCGGCGATACCAAGACCCATGGCCTGGGTCGAGATAATGAGCAGAATCTGGAAACCCCAGCCAAAGTATTGCTTGTAAAAGATCTCCTGGGCGAGGAGAATATCAATGGCGTAACTGGCGGTGGCACCGGCAGCAGTCATCATGGTGATGATGGTGTGCTCCTTGACGTTGAAGGGACCGGGGTTGGTGTTGAGCTCGTGACCGAAGAGGTTGAACTTGATCTCCGGGATGACCTTGGCGCAGAAGCAGCCGAGGGGGTAGGAGATCAATTGCACCACGGTGGAGGTGATGATGATGGGTGAGCGACGGAGACCGAGGAGAATGTTGCAGGCGGCGATGATTGTACACATGAGGGCACCAATCGACCAGGCGCGGATAGTGTTGATGGGCAGCTCGGTATCGTCAAAAGGTTGGACCTGAGCTTGTTAGTCATGACGCCCGTTGCTCGACTCGGGACGTTGAACAAACTCACCGAAGCGCGGACCTCGGGGTAGGGAGAGTCCTCGTGGAGAGCAGCCTCAACGGCAGCCTCCTTCTCGTAGTCACCAGACTGGACGGCGGCGTCGGCGGCATCGAGCTTGTCAATGTCCAAAAAGGGATCCCACTTGTGAATCTTCTTGAACTTCTTGAGTTCGGCTTCGGGGTTGACGGTCTCGAGACCGTTGGCATCGACGCCGGTCGAGACGGCGTCGACCACGATGGGCCGCTCTCCGACCTTGCCCCTCCACTTGCTGAAGGCCATGGTTGGCAGTCTTTCAGGTACTGGTTACCGGGTTGGTATTGCGTTCGGGTTGCACCCTGAGTTCTCAAAAGAATGGAACTCAAAGGGGGGAGTCTCTGGTCGTAGAGCTTGTGGGCTGAAGAAACCAAAATCGAGCACGACGAGGGAGAGCGCGTCGGGTAGTATTTAGATGCGTCGCACATCCAGGGCCTCGTTGATGGACTCCATGATCGGTTGCCATATCGGCGACCAGTGGGCCGAGATATTGACCTGCCTAATGGAGTCAGTCGTGGGCGAAGCGGGCCAACCCCTGGCGGAGTATCGGGCGATACGAAAAGGCTACTATGTAGATATTGCGCTGGATGCAAGCGGAAGCTTGTTTGGACGAGAGGGTGTGTGTGTGTCTCCTATGGAGTACACACACCTGGAGCCGTGGAACGGGCGGTAGCTTGTCCTTGACAGACGCACTGACGTGACCGATAAACGAAATCGCCCCTGATATGCACCAATCGTTCGTCTCGAGAGGATTCTTGTTGGGTCTATTCTTCCTCGCCACCGTCTAGAAGGGTGGGAAGGGACGGTTTTAGTTGCTCGTAAGAGGTGTGATCGTGCCGTTTGATAGGATACCACGGCACAGAGAGTCAACCGACCAACCCGCCAACCCGCGTTCGATACTTCGATATCCTCGCAGATGAGGACCACCCGAAGAACTGCAGGCAACGAGCTAGCAGTTCGAGGAGGAGCGGGCTGGATTGTGGGAGTGGAGGGGTGCTCTGGGGGTGGACACATTCCGCCCGTCTCTTCTCCACCCCCTGATAGGCCTCTCTCGGTGACTGGAACAAATTAGGTACTCATGTACTGTTCGACGGTGCGGTCGCGGAGCCTGTCCGCCTCCCAGAAATGACCAAGAGGCCTCTTGTCATTCGATGGTTAGGCCAGGGCCATTGAGCGCCGTTTGAGCGGGAATGGCGTTGGGGCGTTGGCAATTGATCCATCCCGCTACCCTCCTCCGCCGTCGTGCCGCCGGCCACCGCCGCCTCCCATCTTCCAGCCGCCAAAGTTGCACACTGACTTGACGACATGGGGCGCACAACGTCGGGGTTGTCAGACTGACAGGAGCCAGAGAGCTGACTGAGAGCATCGAGGTGAGTCGTTCCGCACTCAACAGGCCATTCAAAGAGCCGCCTTGCTGATCGATCGCCAAGGGGGCTGGGCGCCAAGCACGAGAAGAGCAGGTAGTCACCGCGGGAGGGCATGGCGTCGCCGGGTGTGGCAGAGAAATTGGCAGCCAAGCACATCTCAAGCAACTCAAACAATGTCCAAGACGGGTGGCCAAGGTCGGGGAAGCGTGGGAAGCATCGCCAGAAGCTGCAAGTCGTACCCCAGGCTCGACCGCTAGAGCCAAAAGGAGGAAAAGGGCAACAAGACCAACGCGTTGGTGGCTGCGAGCTAGCCAACCCGCGTCGCCACTCCTCCGACAAAAAGTCGTTCAATGCAAAAGGGCCCTGCTTTCAGTGGATCTGCCGATAGCAAAGGGACCTTGGGGTCCGAGGATGATGCCTGTCTAGCGCGGTTGTCCCCCTTCAAGCCTTCGAGGCCAAGACTTTCTCAGTTAATCACCCGAGTAGAATCCCTGCAAAGGCACGCGAGAGTAGAAGAGCTGGAGAAGCGAGTTCCGACTCTGCTGGCCACTCAGAGACGCGGTAACAGAGCGACAATCTGCACTCTTCGGGAAGGACGTCGGAAGAGACGGCAAATGATGCCACCCATGTCATAATTTGTCGGCAGCGAGGCCAATCATTGCGTCGAGTTGGCTTCGAGGCTGTCAGGTTAATGACACAAGCACTGACAAGTTGAGCAGTCTGGGCACAAGTGGATGAACAAAAAGTTCCTGAGACCCCTCCCACCCCTTCGTTCCCTCCGCAAATGGCCCCTCTGAAGGCGTGACAAACGTCCCTCTGTGCTCCGTAGGCGCGCCCTTCTGGGTTGACACGGTTGAAGGATGCCTGCCGCTTAGGATCCGAGCTGCTGGAGAGGGTTGGTTCGTCCGACTGCGCTTGGAGACTTTCCTGATGGGTGAGTTCCGCCCCACGCGATAGTCCCGCGCAAAAGGACCTTGGAAATGCGGTTGTGGTCAGATTTGATTGTATCGGTATTCCTGCGTTGGCGATGAAGATGGGAGATGTCATTCATTCAGCACATCTATCCAGGAACAGCGAATCGGCGCAACTGACTCGGCAGCAACCTCGGCATCCTTTCTTGCTCAACTGTCTCACCGTCTTTCTCACTGTAGCACAGCGGACAGCATTTGGACAAACTTGGTGAGCAAACATCACGCGAAGGAACAAACAGGAAGGCAAGCGATATGTTACGCCTGACAAACCGCCGCAACATCGATTACTGATGCCCTTTTTTCCCAGTCTATTTGCGACAGATTCTCCAGCGCCTCGGTAGCAGTTTAAGGTTATCGAGAACGACTGGAATTACGGATTCTCGTACGTAAAGTTCTTGTCATTTCCCCAGGTCCCCGCTGGCTGGAAAAGATGGCGTGGCGCGCGGTGGCACGGTGTCACGACTGACCACCACCACCCTGGGCGACAGCCAAACAATTAAATTGGAATAATTTGTGCTTATTCAAGCATTCATGAATGCCGCCTGGAAATGCCTTCTTCCTCACACAGCAATTCCATATCATAACTGGTAATGATTTTCAATGCGGCAAACAGACATGGGCTTGTTGATGTGGGCAACCTAGAAATTGAATGGATGGATTTGGCCACCACCTCGCGTGGTTTCCGGGACATGGGCATGCGAGATGGCGAAAAAGGTTGCGAGAGCTCCATCCGTGATACCCGGCCGCCGAACCCTTATTCCAGAATATCTTCTGCGGGGTGAGCAGCCAGCGCGCATTCTGATCCGGACGGCTGCAGCGTCTCCTCGGTATCTCGGGTAGGTGAGTGACATCCCAGGAAAGCATGCGGCCTACCTAGCCTTGTGGACCGCCCTGCAAGAGGTCAGCTAAAGAACCAAAGAAGTATGGCATGTCCTAATGATTGCAAGAAATTCGGTCTTTCCCATTGGCCATCTGGCAAGCGGTAGCAGGCAAACCCAGAGATAGGGAATCCCAGCCTGGTACGTTGGTGGTCACTCATCAACCCCACGCAGCTTTCCGCCAGGCTGGTACGCTGGGTCTCTCCCTCTGGATCTCTTGATGGAGCCGACGCACTCACTTTGCGGGCGACACCTTGCCTCTCGGTGACATGTCGTATCTATAGGCACGGTTAACACTTAATGGCAAGTTGCGGGGCGTACAAGTATGTTGGAAGTTGGGATAAGAGACGGCAGTGGCGTTAGTCCGGGTGAACCTGCTCAGGCGAATGGCAGCTTAGTCCTTATCATCTGAGAGCTGATCTATGACATCTTAGGTCCCTTTAGGAGCCGCCACAATCCACTCGGCCGAGGCAAGCCGTTGGTAACGCAGCCGACCTCCTGCTGGTGGTTGCATGATCGAGACACAATTCATCGGACCGGGTTCTACCCGTTCAGCTCAGTCTCGTCCGAAAGGGCAGGTATACGAGCCTCGACAGTGATTTGGTGAAGGATTCAAGACTAGTACGTACCTATCTGCCTGCACTAAAAGCCCAACCACATTCAACCATGATCCACGTAACGTTGCGCATGCCGATCATGAAGCTAGATGACAACATTCTAGCTAAGACTTCTGCTTCTTTCAACAATTTACGTGGCCATGTTTGTTCGCCTCTGCCAAATCCTGCAGCTACGTTTTCCATTTAGCCACCGTGAAGCAATAGATTATCTGGTCGTCGCTGGATAATTGTTCAATCTGACCTTCCTCAATGTACTGAAGGATGCTTCTATTAATGAGCGGCTGCATGGTCTTGGCCAATTGCTTCAAACATGCTTCGGCTTTACAGTACACTGTTATCTAAGATAGTGATGTCTCCCGCTCATTCTACATCCTCACGCAGTTTGCATGATTGTGTTCCAATATATGGTATGATCATCGAGTTTGAGCACTGGTAGCTCTAATCTGGTTCTTGGCGGGGATTCATACAGATTGACTTCGTCGATTGGGAATATAGCAGTGCGTCAGCCGAATGACTGTCTGATAAACCCGAGATCCGTGTGACAGTCAAATAAATGAGACACACGATTCCAGTGCTGAATATGGTCTGCTGAGATGTTTTAGCGCGATCTCTCATGGGGCTCTCAGACTGAGAGTAGTATCTAAAGCTTCATGTACCTGAAGCCATGAAGGATAGGAAAAACTAATAGAATTAATCAATGGTGTCGATATTTCATGCGGAAAATACGTTTGCTATTTTTCGAGTTACAGTTGGGGTGCCCAAGGAGTCGAAATATCGCATCAACTACAAAGAAGCGATAACACAAAGATCTAAATATTTCCTCAGCCTTTCGACTATGGAGAAATCTTTTGACTCGAGGTTATAGCAAAAATGATTTCGGATTAACACTCCATATGTCTCTTGTCTACTTAGTAAGAGACGCACACCTTCCTGCTGTTCCCATTCCGCTGTTAGTGTAATAGAAGCAGTTGGTACGCTACGGCTCTGCCCCTTCAGACACGCCCTGAGTCTACTAGTCAATTTCATATGAAGGCTTCTATAATACTTCAACTGCTTCAAAGTAACGAGATACCTTGCGGATGGTCGTTGCAAGACCTGCACGTGGGATAAGCTTCAGCTTGGCCGTTGAAAACTTGATGTTTGCACGTATCTCCGGCACTACTGGCCTCTTCCCCAAGCTAATTCATAGCGTTACGGTCGAAGCCTTCGGAATTACCTCTAAGAAACGGTGTTTAAGCTATCAGGGTTGCGTTTGGCCGGACTACTTTGCCTGTCGCCAAACCTGTCTCCCTTAGCCCGATGTCAGTAGGGGCGCAGGTCTGACTGTCCACTTGAGTGGTCGGGCTTATCAAGGTAGGGTGCCGGAGGGCTCTTCGTGATGAATATGAGAGCGTCTAGATGAGCCCTTTTCACACTGCCATCAAACTTTTGTGACATAGGCAAAATGACTGCAAAGAACATTCTTTGTTCATCAGACTTTGAAGCATTGTAGCAAGTGTCATAGGCTGTGTACAGGAAGGTGATGCCAAGAGAAGACAAGACTCACAAGAGAAGCCTTACTGTTGACAAGATCTCTCACACCATTGAGACAGACATCCGGGTAATGAAGCCAAGAGATGCTTGGCAGCAAAGTTCACTAACACTGCGCAAAGGGATGCGGACTTTTGCCATGACCAGGACCCCGGGTTTCTGCCTGACAACCTTGTCTCCTTTCTTTCCCATGGTGGACAAAGTTGACAACATCTTTGGAAAGTGGCACTCTCATGGACACCATGAGGTTGAAACCCTACCATACAGGTTACGGAGATTGCTCTTCCAGGATATACAAGTCGAAAGCACCTCTGCTGGCATTCATTTATGCTCACCAGCTAAACCACCCATTCCTCTCACTCACATAACCTGGCCGATTCTTCGCACCAATCCTCGGCTCCTGCCCCGTCCCTCACCAGCAATCCGATCAGCATATTCTCACAACGCAGCTGGTCATTGGTTCCAATTTCCCTCACATCTATAACCACCGCAACAACCTTTCTCCACTCATCCCTCTAACATACAAATCAGTCATCACAATGGGTTGCGGATGCTCCAGAGAACTCACTCCTTCCGAGGCTGCCATCGAGGAGAGAGATGTCGCCAGCCTCGAAATGGCCCAGAAACTCGAGTGGTACGCCCTTCTGGAACGCGGAGTATCAGAGAAGAGAAAGAAGGAAAAGATGAAGGAGTATAGAAGGGACTGGAAAGACTTCAACGGCCGCAGGCCCCGCGGGTTTTGGGGCGACTCTCCCAACTATCGAGGAATCCACGTCAACTTCCCTTAACGCAACCTCAACGACACATTATTCTTAGGGTCACGTAATAACCTTCGCGAGACCTAGTCTCCGGAATAGAACCTCATATCATCCCAAGATCACTACAGCAACATTTCATGAGAGCACAGTACGGGGCTATGCGGGTCTCCCGTCTCATGACGAAAGTTGTACCGAGAAAGCTCAATGACCTTCACCGCATTCGGTTCTCAAGGCACAGCACCGTACCGACTATCCAGGTTCACTGTCCTCAACATGACCGTGGCAACACGAAACTCTGAATCTCGTCCCTACCACCAAAGTCGAACTGAAACGAGTTTTCGCGGTCAATGAGAGTTTCTACGACTTAAACATCGCTTCAGTGCATCATGATGTTGCGGATTGCCAAGACAAAGTTATATACTAGGTTAAAGGTACATGTACCTAACTTGAACCTAAGGTACCTTATGGCAGGATACATGCCGCAAGGGGTCTTTCGGGGTTATCGGGGCTTCCAGATCTCGCAGATGAATCCTGAATGTCATACTATACGGGGTCGTTGGGAATTGCTAGGCACGTCTGGGCTGTATTGAACAAAGTAGACGGAATCAACGCAATACATGAACGATCCTCTTATGATTCTTTCCAAGTGCATTACATCTCGAAGAAACGAATGTTAGTTACATTCGGCCCATTAACTCATGAATTTCCAGCTTCTCTACTGAACACCAGTCGAGACTCCCATTACTGAATGCCTCACCTTATCTTGAGGGTCTCCATAGCATTCAACTGAGCCATTTACGGTCCCAATAGTATTAGAATAAATGGGGCAACTCAGTAAAAGTTTTAAATGCCATATTACTTTGGCCAACGAAACATGGCATCCAGATTCTTGCATCTCAAACCAACAATCGGGCTCCATACGGGCTGTGTAAGTGATGGCTCACAAATCGCGCACGTAAGATAGGGCAGCATGTCACGTAATAATACTGGTTACTGCCCTGAGTTCTATTCTACCACCCAAACAAGGTATGGAATTAGTTGCTGCAAGAACTCGAGGCTCGAAGGTCATTTGATAAACTCCTTGGAACACTAAACAAGCCGCATGTCGTTGGCTCAATGCGCTCGCAGGGCTGTCCATCTTTTGCATGCAGCCAACGAAATGGTCGATTGCCTCGGCCGGCCTAGGTCAAACCGGCATTCGCTGCCCCGCCATACTTTTGCACGTGCTCCGATCCACGGCACCCGACAGAAGGATCCCGGCCCCGGTCATCGCCCCGCCAAGCGCTCTCGCATCGCGAGTACGAAAACGGAAATCGGCGCGGACGAACATCAGCTCCATCGTGGGGTAATGACTTAGAAATGAGAGAGTCGGTACAGATCTTAGTAGAAATAGCACGCCCTGATGCTGCTTGCTATATGTCAACACAATCAGCTGCAAAGGTGGAATTTAGTTCTCTCAACTCCATTCCATTGAAGCTTACTGTGGTCTGGCGTTATCATCTTTCAGAAACCCCAACCTCTCCTCGAGCCTTTGGAATGGAACCTCAGACCCGAGGTTTGGCAATTTGAATTCCATGTTCACATATTGTTCTGTAGAGTAAGGCTGCTTGGAATCCTCAGTACAACCCAAGGACCGGGAGACTGACGGCACCATAACCCGACTGCTGTATTAATCCAATGTTGGAAGAACAGCAGGCTGCAGACTCAGAGCTGACTTCTATAAGTAAGCTGCCAGGCCGTTGAGATTGTGTCTCCGCGCAGACTGCCTAGGCAACCAATAGGAGGACGTTTGAGATCAAGGGGACTTGTCCACTGACTGCAAGTAGTCGAACTAATTCATGTCTCAACTGTCTAAGATGATTCAATTGGATTGGATTAGACATTACTTAAGCTTATATGTCTAACCCAAATCCCGGGCCTTCACTGAGCAAGTTGCCAGCACTATGGCTCATCCGGGATACAGCTTGATAGACCTTTAAGCGACTTGCTAGTTTGAACCAGCTCAGTTGCTGAGCCTCAGACCTCCGTCCACTGTAAGTTTGATGCCTTTTACATTTCTCTAGCCTGTTCCCAAGGAAGATGACACAACCACTCCACTAAACATCTAGGTACTTAATTCTCTAATTCTTTAGGTATCGGAATTTGTGAGGTTCTAAACTTCCAAGAATCATACAATTTTCACAACCTGACCATCTCTCCATACGCCAAGTATCTATCGATCTACTAGCCCAACTACCTGATATGAAACCAATCCAAGAATGTGTATGGAGTTGACATCTTCAAGTGCGCCGCAATAATATCTCCGCTCGGTGCTCTATCAATCCTATGAATGAGAATTCGAGAGCCTCCCCTCGTAATCGCTTCATGTAAGACAGTGGTTGATTGTCACGTCGATCAATTGAGCACGAAAGCAAGATGTAACCGCAAAGCGTAGGATGGTTCGGAGATGGGTGCGTGCGCCACGTAGGGGACTTCGGACTCGGACTCGGACCGTACTTGACTAAGAATATCAAGATCCATTGGAGCTTTGATACATCGCGTAGACAGGCGGCAAGCAGCAGCATTTCATGCTGCTACGCTTGTCAAATTAGATGTTGCTACTACATTATGCCTTGCGTATTGTGAACTGTCAAGAAGGCCGTCGGCGAGCACGTGGTGTTGTTTACTTGAACAAAGTACGTGCAAGAATATTTAGAGTTGCGAAACCACGTGAATTGTCCCCAGTAGGCCGAGGCAGTGAGCTTCTGGTTACAGAGAGAAACACCCACGCCCCGCCACAGCCAAGGAAGCATCCTACTAACAATTCATGCTAACAACGACAAGGCTGTACGACCTGGGGCAATTCGACGAATTGTCGACGTTGGGGGAACAGTGGGGTAGGATTCGGTATGTTTTCTCATAATAGTTACCAAAGACTAATGCTACGATCGCCGGCCGCGTGGGCGATGCATGTTGACCGCTGGCCGAATGATCGACGAATCCTTGCCCAACATCTTCCCTGTCCCAGCTGCACATCACACTTCCTTTCACGTTCGCATAATTGTCTTCGGGAAAGGCAGTTTCTGTCTTGAACCTGTTTTTCGGGACGTCTCGCCAGAAAAGGACCCATCAAAGAGTTTCCCTGGGTTCTGTCCGGGGGCTCATCAGAGGCGGAGGATCGCTGGGCGGCCTCCGCATCGTTTCATGTTTCGAAGCCAGACCCTGGGCCACATCTCCCAAATCGCCGGGCGCTTGAAGCTGAGGCTCTCTGAACACGTCATAGCTCAGGGCTCCCCCAGATCTGCTTGGTTCATGCTCTAGGGGTCAGCTACCCTTTTGGATTGGCAGAAGTGTGTATGGTCCGAGGTAAACAACGGCATGTGAATCACGATGATTTGATTCTATGGATCATAAAAAGGCTTCAGTTGCGCCTGCACCAAGCCATCGTAGAGTATCACTATCACCATCATACCTCGAGTCAACAGCATTTCAACGTACCAACACATCCCAGAATTAACTTTGACCACAGTCAATACACAACCAGCAAAATGTCTTTCGCCGATCTTTCCAAGAGCTTGAGCGACATCGAGCGCAAGGTCAACAAGTCGATCAAGATTCTCGGCAAGGGCAATGACATGAACTACAAGGATGCCATCAAGCTGGGCACCAAGTCGAACTCAATCGTCAGCACGATCAACAAGGGTATCAAGGACTACTCGGTGAGTTCCCGTTTTCTTTCGTCTCTGTCAAGAGACTGCTGGAATTAACCCCTAAATCAATGACAGACCTTCACTCCCTCCGAAGACGAAGCCAAGAAGCTTCTGGGCCAGATGAACACCATCGTCGACCTCACCGAGACTCAGCTTAATGCCATGGTATCGAACCAGGCTCGCTTCGAGAGCTTGAAGGTCGGTGGCCTCGTGAAGAAGAACGTCACCAAGACCGAGGCTGCGGGCAAGGAGCTCTCTGCGGTTATGATTTCCAAGGCCCCTGCTAGCATCAAGGGAGATGCTGAGGCGCTTGAGAAGAGGCGTGAGGCTGCATTCAGCAAGGCATCTGGAGCTTTTGCTGGGTCCACAGGCGGCGAGGACGAGCAACTCGGAGACGATTCCGACTAAGGGTATAATAGCTCCGAGCTTACAATACATAGTGGCTGTGTAAATAAGAGTCTACCCTTTCGCAATTTTGACAATGGCTCGCGCATGGGATTTCCAAGTGCATTTTCATCAATTAGCCCGATGGGTCCGCTATACAGTGTTGAATTACTACTACCTTGCAGTGATGATGGATTTGAAGATCAATGTCGTCACATGTAACGAAATGCGTGGTTGTTGGCGATAGCACCAACCTGGTGTGACGCAGCGTGAGCCTGGACCACTTTGCGTCACGTCAAGGTCTTTAGACGATACGGTACGGCCCGCGGATCCGAGTGTTAGTAGGACAGGGCAATTCGACTGACTCGAGGTTCAGTTCAGGTCCGCTGCTTTTAATGATCATCAACACAAACCTTTTTGCTCTCAACCAATAGGGTAAAATAGCATCATGCGGCGGGAATACGATAGGCGTGCTCATGGTTGGAATTCATTTTCCTTGAATGCTATTAATAGGTAAGGTAAGCTGACGATATCATTATCGTAGTGGTTCAATTGGAGAAGAAAGTATGACCTTGGCTGTCAGGTTCATTGAACTGGCGGAAGAGAAATCAGGTAATAGCTGAAGAATCACAAGTCAAATAGTCAAAGATGACTTCCAAAGATCAAAGCTTCGATAATCCGACATTAGTAGAACTCATTGACCTGATGTTGTGTGGTTGGAGATGTGATGGAAAAAAGAAAAGACAGGGTGCTTGAGCTAAACCAGTAAAGCTTAGGTTCAATCTGGACCTTGGGATCTTCTTGGGAGGAGCACCGGTAAGAGGCACCCAAAAGTAAGGGGCACTCCATTTTCCATAGTTAAGCAATTAATAGGCTACATAGGGGCACCCGTGACGGCAGCAACACTTCCAGATTACCAAGCTATGCGCCCAAATAGGTTAAATGGTGTGCCTTGTATTGAAAGCTGGGGTGCTTATTACCGGTGCTCCTTGTATGGTTGGAGCGCGCGCCAAGTCGTGGCTGCCTAGTGAATATCGGGTCTAAGCCGGAGAGGGGTTTGGTTAATTCATGTTCCTCCAGAGCCATTGAGGTCATGGCAGCTTCTTATTGACCTCGCCATCAATGCATCATTGTGCTCAACCACATCGAAATGGAGACCCTTCCTCAAGAATTGGTCGATGATATTGTTTCTTATTTATTACCGCAGCAGCGCCCCGAAGCAACATTGAAGCCTTATGATACGCGCATGAGACCAATATGGCCCATCGCCCCGATAGCCACAGTCTCGCGTCGACTACAAGCCGCCGTGGAGAAAGCCACGTTCAGATCTTTGAAGATTACCAGCGACGAATTTCCGAAGTTCATTGAGCTTCTCACTCCGGCTAGGCGATACCATCTGACCAGCTTGATCGTCACCATCACTCTTCCGCCTTACGATGACGCTGCATCCCACAGAGCGGAATCGCCCGAAGAACGGCTTATCAATGACAAGTGCTACAGTAATGGCATAAGAACACTATTCCAAACTCTTCGAGGTTGGGAAGATGAAGATGTCAAGATAATCAGCTGTCCCCTTGCGTTATTTATCAACCACCCAGAATCGCCTTCCGATACGCCATGGCCGACCAAGTATGTTCCTTGGGGTGAGATGTATCCCGAGGAGGACGGGATTTACGAGGGCCGGTTCTTGCATTCTTTCATTGAACTGAGAGAATGTCAGCTCCTCCCGGATCTGGCGAGAATCAAACAGCTCACAATGATTCAACCAGAGGAGAGGTATGGCTACCGGAACACCTACCCCAAGGTGCCTATACTACTTGCCTCAAAGATGCCAAATTTGGAACGCTTCAAGCTATTCATGAATGACGATGAAAAGAGATTCGACGAAATACGAATCAACAACCGGAACGAAGCGGCGCAGGCTATTCGAGAGCTGTCACTGCCGTTACTGAGGAAAGCCGAATTTGAGTTCTTTCAGAGACGATATCGAAACGAGAGAGCAATGCCGCCAGCGTTGCATGAGCTCGGAGCCCCAGACCCGTTGAGCTCTGCTATCTGCGCATTTTCACAAAATCTCGTAGATCTGAGTGTCACCGGCTCCTTTGACGACTCCCTCCTCAGACCTATGCAGGGCCTGAGCAAGACGTCATGGCCCAACCTCAGATTTCTCGACGTTAACATGCACGCCACTTCCCCTTCAGGAACCTGGTACTTCAAAAAGGCAGACGGAAGCCCTGATCACCGGCCCTACACCCACAGCTCCAACACAAACAACGCCCACTCAGATCTGCACAACGAAGAGTTCAGCTTCGTAGAGGAAGCCGCCTACGCGCGTATGACTCCGGTAGAAGTCTTCCGCTGCAAACCTGACGACGCCTACATCGTGCCTTTCATCGATGCGTATGCTAACGCGCTGAAGGCGATGCCTACGCTTACCTCCGCGGCGCTGAACTTCCAGCTCGAGTACGAGGCCGAGGAGGATGAACCCAGCTGGATGTGTATTGCGTACTTTGCGCCCTGTCGCACGGCTCCAAAGCACCCGCCAAGATTGTTGTGTCCGAAATGCAACAGAGGCGTGACACGCCAGCTGGTGAAGTTGTACCTAGACTGGGAGCCAAGCGAGGAGCTGGCGGCTAAGCTGCGTGCGATTGGAGACGAGGTTTACGAGGCGCCGATGGTGGAGAAGACCATGGCCCAGTTTATGGATCAGCATGAGTGGGTTAATAACGAAGAGTCTTGATAACGGAAAGAAGTTCCTTCCTTGACTCGCAAGCAAAAGCACTATATGTCCTGGACAATAGCTACTGCCTAGAGGTGATTAGCGCAGCTTCATGGGCCATTGCAAGAACCCGTTAGTCTCCATATAGCAGATGAATGCATCGTATCATCTTCCACTACGTTTATTGCCGTAATGACTATTGATTGGTTGAGACCTCAGACCAGATCTCATATATAGATGCGTCCCTCGAACGTTTAAGGTAGGTGCAGAGTAAGACCCCAACTCATATTTAGGCATGTCATGTCTAATGACAACCCGTGACTGAGTTGATGCAGGTATATTCAACCCTCCTGATGATTCTTAACAGCATTATGACTTCGATTGAAAAGTCTTGCGACAGTAGATTACATGACCTGTAAGCAGGAGCTAGGCGACAGCCCAAAACTTCAAAGAATCGAACACGATCACTTCGAGGCGCCATGTCCTTTGTAAGTCAGTTGCCCCAGGCTCCAACCTCACTTCCTTTCTCCATGACCTTGGGTCCTCGTACTTACATTAGAAAAGACGCACTCGTTCACAAAAGAGCACTTGAAGTCCCTGCAGAGTCTCAACGGCCGATGTGAGCAAATGCAATCCATAGATAATGACCCATTGGCAGATTTTACTCCAATCATCTGACTGCGCTTAATGCCTCGGAAAAGTCAGTCTATCAAAGAAGTAAGAAGAAAAGCTTCACAGGTGATCAAACACGGGGTGTCTCTGGAGATGGCCCGACATAGAGCCAAGGCCCAAAACAAAAGCGCGCAATAGCAAGTAAGCATATCTGATACGTAGGCAAGGAACTGGTGCTATTTTGCCTTCCCTTGCTTGCTGCTTTCTTCAGAGACACGATTTCAAGTCATGTTATAGGGTGCACTATACTCGAGACAAAGATGGGACGGTCAAAACACTGGAGAATATGGCTGTTGGTATCCCTATTACAGGGTAGTTGGTTCGAACCGTGGGTTGACGAAGAGATCAATTGAACTATATGAATATCTGCGTAGTAGGTGTAAAAAGGAGGTTCCAACCGTAGGTTGGGCTGGCTACGATAATCGTAAATAGGGCCCCCAATTGGCCCCTGCGCAGTCGGCTGTATGCCGCGGTCGAATTGGACTTCCAATCCGACAATGGCCCATCTGGACGGCAGTCTATGCCTGCTGTGGAGGACGAGGTTCCTTTGGGTGTCGTGTACCAAACAATTTTGAAAGCATAATATAATCACCCAAATGACTCGCCTATGAGATGAACGATATCTCACTCTGTTCAAGTAGAAACCAATTTGCGGTAGACTCTCGGCAACATTATCGACGCGATGCTTGGTTGTGGTGACTTGATCCCACGTGAGGCTTTCATCACTGTCAAGAAGGTCAGCACAACTTCCATTCATACGGGTTATTCGGCTCAATTGCCTTGTTACCGAGCATCTTCAGAGAATATGTTTTATCTCCAGTCTGAATTGATATTTTCTATGCCGAGAGACCGGTAGGCGCAGCCATTTGTCTCGCAATGCGTTGAATTCCCACGCTTCATGAGCTCTTCCAAATACCAGTTTCATCAAGGTGGATACACAAAAAATTGGGAGTTAGTTCCGAACATCATCAAGAAGTCACTTTTCTTGCAAAGAACAAATCAGTTGAGCTTCCTCGAACTATCTACAAGGTGGGTGTGTGGCTTAGAGGTTTAAGGTTTGTAAGACGTGATCCCTGGCGTAGATCGGACTTGGATCTTGTCGTGGGTGCTTACCTCACCCCCAGCGCCGAAACAGCCTCTAGTTCGTCTGGTCGATGAGGAAAGAGTGGATCTATGTGAGGTTATACCCAGTCATACCCGTCACAGAGCACGTCGAGATTTCCCAGAAGGGCAGAGGGAGTTGTTGGAGCAAGGGGCTTGTGTGGCCAATTGTTATACATATTTGCACTTATCTTAGAGATTTCCAACGTCCAACACCGGATACTAGAACATGGCTAACGGGAAATAAGTCTGAAGCAGCGTTTTTGACTCTAAGAAAACAAAACACGCCTTTACGAAAGGTCGCTGAGAAACGACTTAGGAGTGAGCCTGGAAAAACTAAGTCATCTAGACTCTCGCGATAGTGAAGAAGTACTCCATGGTGGAATCGATAACGAAGCTGAAATCAACGCTCTGCTCTCGGACACTCATAGTGCCGTCACGAACACAGCCCTCAGTGCCTCCACGTCTCCAGCTAAAGTTCCATCGGAATTCTTCGCCAAGGATGTGGAAAAGCGGATTGAATCGGAGGCGAACGCGGCCATGGAATTGACCGAGGTTGTCAGTAGTCCATGCTTAGAATTAGACATGACGATTGCCAGTTGCTTGTCCCCAATTGGTTGGAGCTACGCCCCTAGCAGCCTCAATGTTGAGGAAGCGGGACAAGTTGTCAGGTCTGACGGGGGGAGGCGGATTGTAGCCTTTGAAGCAGATATCGATCCCGCTTGTCGATGGAGTTCAGGTTGTCGACTTCATCTGCGACGGTGACAGACGTGTTGGCGACCTCCATCTTGACCAAAGGTCTGTCGGTAGGAAAAGCAGAGGCGCCAAGCATGTAGCCAGTGGCGGCAAAGACAATTGCAAGAGATTGATGATGCATTTTGTAAAGAGTGGACGAACAAGTCTAGTTCTGAAGTTCTGAGTGTAATAATCAAGGGGGAAAGTTGTCAATGCAGCATGTATGTTGAGCTCGCTTCTCTGTTGGACTGACAGTGGGAGGTCAACTTTTATCTAGGACTATTCAAACCAGATGTCCGATATCTCAGGAATTCCGTGTGCATTAACAGATCATTCTTTTGATTGTACATTTACCAAAGTTTCTCATCAACTGAAAGCTTAATTATCACATTCAAAGACTTTCTCTTGAGCAGCCCAGGACTAAGCAGAATTTCTAGTACTGCAGCCTTGTTTTTTGAAAGGCATGACTGGAATTGAGCCTCGTGTTAATCTAAAGATCAATAGACTCAAGTCTAATCCCAATGTCTCTGCAGGGCTGCAGTCTTTCGAGACCGTCGAAATCGAGATTTTATATCACCGCACCATACCGACCTCACCTTGACTCACCCGACCATACGGAGTACTCCGTACTCGGAGAAAACCGACCTCAGACCTACTCTATCTACTTCCTGCCCGGACCATTATATTGCCTTCCTGCCCAGATTGTCGTATTACCGATCCGAATCTAGCCTAATGTCGAACCCTCACCCAATCTCCATGCACCATCATATCCGAAGTCACGGAGTCAGTTTTCTCAGGAGATAGTCGGGTGACCTGCATCCTCGTCGAAGCCAGTAATCATAATGGCTAGTCCACATCGACTCGGTCCTCAAATCAACGAATTCTCTGCATTTAATCTCCTTTATCCATTATAATTCGGTTAATCCGTGTCCTTTTTATCCTTTTTACTTGGCAGATATATGTCAGAAGTCTCGGCGGGTCCTTCCTATTTATCTTGGCAAAGGGACTTGACGCATCACCGTCCTGATTTTCTAAACCTTCAATAAGAGTAATTTGAGGAATATTGGGGACAAACAGTAGCAGGGAAGATACTCTAGCGGAGGCGGCCTAAAGACGGAAACTCAAAGACGTGACGCAATTTTATGAACTGGAATATGATTTGTGAGATTGACGTAGGATACAGACGCAGCAAAGGGCCGGCAGCAAACTTTCGTGCAGATTATATAAGGCTAACCGATTTCTCTCTCAACTAGCCACCTAGTCACTTTAGAGCATTGCGTTCGAAACTCGCAACCATTCCCTAACATTCCAATACTCGACTCCAGAAGATGCAGTTCTTTACTCACGTACTCGCTATCTCTGGCGCTTTAGTTAAGCTCACTACCTTGGGCTCTTCCCAGAAGTTAACGTTCCTATCTAGTTCTTTCGCTTCGGCCGATCTTCACACTTACTGCGCTTGTCAAGGTGGTACTGACCTCCCCATCCATGTCTACGCAACTCAACGTGTACATGATCAAAACCAGGAGGTTTTGAAGTGGGGTACGTTCACCGTATACCGTTCCCGTCTTGATTTGTGGCTGATCAATCTTAGGCCAAGATGCCCCTGGTATATGGCTCGGGCACGCGTCGGGGCTAGGTCCTCGCTTCGGTGGTTCTTTCGTCGAACGCAAGGTCGGCAGAATTGACGGCAAATGGATGTACAACCAATGCCATCTCTACGGAGGCTTGGACTCCACTTGCTTTGAGTGCTCGCGGGTTCAGATGAACGGCAAGGATAAGAATTGCACCCAGAGCTAAATTGGATCTTTTCGTTGGGACATGGTTAACTATCGAGATCCATTGCAGGTAGAAACAATGGACTGAGTGGGGCAGAGATGTTGTGGGGATGGACAAGTCGATAGATCTTTGGATGGAAATCTACTAAAGTATCTTAAGAAGAAGCATTGTTTCACGCTCTGAACTACTAACCTCCTAACTGCCAGCCTACGAAGTAATACAATAGAGAACTCAATATTACTAGACTTATATGTTGCTACGAGCAGTCTGCCCTTGTCTTGCCGAAAGCTGCCTTGGCTCTCTGCAAAGCCTGCACAAAGTGTGTCTTTTTCCGAAGAGAGATTGTTATTACGTTTCAACCTTACCGTTGTGGTTTCCTTCTCTGGCCTAACAGGCGCAAAAAAAAATGAACTTAACGGGATCAGGCTTTCTATGAAGATCACACGATACGGTACAAATTTCTAATTACACGGTACGCCCAACATGCGCCAGGAACACGCTGAACTCAACATAGTATTTCCGATACGAAAGTCGCCATATTACCACGTGCTATAAATCGTGACATTTCTTCCGCAAATCATCTAGTCTGCAGGGTGGCAGTGTCGTGCGTCAGAACAGATGCAGAACTTCTCGGAACTTCTAGAAGAAATGGAATTTCTCAATGGCGGTTAGACGCCGGGGTCATTTCAAGTGGCTCTTCCTCACCTCTTGAAGCAGGGAGATCCGAGATCGGGTTTGGTACCATCGATTGCTGGAAACAAGCATGACCTCCTTGCAGAGCAGTAAATTCACAGCACGCAAACCGGAAACCTCAGCATCCTATGCGCTAAAAAAGCTTGGGCTGGACTAAGGAGTTGGGCTCCGTTCATCCCGTCCCGGAACCTGACTCGAGAATGAGCGATACTCGCAGAACATCTCTGAGGTTGTCTGTGGTTGCGATGATAGAGTTCGACAAGATGCGAGAGACCGTCTGGGAACTGGTGTGGACGCCGTCTCAAGTTGCTGGGTCCGTCTGTCCCATCCTAGGCAGCTCTCCCCTGCCGACTTTGAAGCACTGCAGAACCAGTGCTTCGATTGACTTGAGGTCAACGACTGTGAGCTGGAACCTGACTCAACTGTCGGCCGCAGCACTGTCGAAGCACTGGGCTGCCGTTTCAGCGTGTCTTCTCTTCGCTACTACGACGCGCATCTCTCTAAAATCCCCCCATATTTTTAGCTTTTGGCTACTGTCTTCGGCGTTCGCGGGCGGCCTTTGTATGGAACCCCCTCACCCCTCCGCGACGTTGAAGCCAACGCTGCCGCGCTTCGCAAACCAACTCCTGCCCGCCGACTTCCGCCCATACCGAATCGATGGGACACATCGTAGGGCGGGCGGCAGGGCTTAGTGTCTATTAAGCAGGTTACATTGAGGTGGATCTGGCAGCATGCCGGGGTGGGCAGGTCAACCTCGAACTCCCGTCCTCTGGCCAATCGCATCCAACCTTGCATACTGGCGGACCTGGCTCCAAGCAGTCCGGCGACTTTCAGAGAGGGTGGCATACCTTGGAGGAACGGTATTGCCTCTGATATAAAGTTGACTTGACAGACGAGGGGAGGGGATCGTCTCAGTTCTTTCAAGGGCCAAGCCATTCTTTTTCTGACCACAGTCTCCCTGTTCCAACATTCAGACCAGACGCTCTTTCAGTCACCATATATCCCCGCGGCATCCCACACCTCAAAGACCAAGGTTATTGCGCTTGCCGTCGAACCTGCCACTCCTTCAGTCGACGAACAGTCTGTCAAAGCTCTATCAACTACTCAACTATATCTCTCCTTCTATACGTCGACTTCAGTCACCAACAAAGCATCCACGCAATGCGCTCTTCAATCCTTTACCTCGCCCTGGCCGGCGTCGCCAGCATCGCGCAAGCCAACCCAATCATCAAACCAGACGCCCAAGTCGACCCCAAAGGCCTCATCACTCGCAGCCTCTCCCACCTCCTCTTCTCCCGCTCCGAACCAACACGCTCCGAGCCGCCCCCAACTAGGAGACAAGCAACGCCGCCTCCCCCTCTGACAAGCAACCCGGCCGCCGCCCCGCCCGGCGGCGGCGGCGCAGTCAACAACGCCAACCGCACCGTCACTCTGACCGTGATCCAAGGCGACACCCTCGGCCAGATCGCGCGCCTCCTCAACTCGGGCATTTGCAACATCGCCAAGCTCAACAACATCCCCAACCCAGATTTCATCGAGATCGGACAGGTCCTGCAGGTGCCCATCAACGTCGCCAACCCGGACAACGACTCGTGCCTCAACCGCGGCGGCGCGATCCCGGCCCCGGGTCAGAATGCTACTGCTCCTGGGACGCCTCCGGCGGGTGGCAAGGGGAAGGGGAAGGGCAAGAAGGTTAAGCGAAGCGAGGCCCTGTTTTCTGAGAAGAGCCCCCGGGCGCCTTTGCACTAATCCATTCCGCAAGTTGGATTTGGCCGAATCAGGAAAACATTCGCCGGGAGGGCTTACTAACTTGGAAGACGAGGTTTCGGGGTGCGCACCGTGGCTGGATGACACGAGACTTTGGCAGATGGCAGCGGGTCTAGCCTTGGAGTTTTGGCATTATGGCATATTTCAGGTGCGAGATGTGTTTTTGCGTTGTTACTCATCTTTATAATATACCTGGCTGGAACAGTCTGTTCGAACATTGAAAATAGTCCACCAACAAAGTTTCCGTTGCAACTCTGGGTGACAACTTGAACTACTAGGAAACATTGGCGAGAGACGGCGCTCTTGTGTTTTCATGGGATCATGTGACGTCATGCGCCGAGAGTTGCTCATGAGTCAGCAAAGGGGAAGAGTCTAATATCCATCGCCAAGATCTGCATCAATTTCCAAACTGCGACTGTTTTCAACAGCAATCCCGCGCTGATATTGAGCGGTCAGTTGATTAAGGAAGACGAAATCCAGCTGCCATACGTGATATGGCTGTTCTCCAAGATCCAACGTCTCTGTTACTCTCAAGATATCGCTGATCAAACCACGCAGAGCTATGGCAGTAACAGCATCCTCGCTGGCCTATCATGAGCCATCCATCACCACCATCGCCATCCTCTCCGGCTTCCTCCTGCTCCTCAATACCGTAAATTACGCTCTCGACAAGCTCGTCTACTGCGGTCTCATTGGTCAGGTATTCCTCGGTATCGCATGGGGAACGCCAGGAGCAAAATGGCTCTCCGAAGAGATGGAGCACTCGATGGTGCAACTGGGATATCTCGGCTTGATTCTGATTGTCTATGAAGGTAAGGTTCATCTTTTGCGATACCCCATCACTGTGATACTCATAATTTGTCCACAGGAGGTCTCTCCACGTCTTTCAAGTCCCTCAAGGCCAAT